GATATAATCCAGTGACTAACATATGTACCATTCTAGGATATTGCATGCTTTTAAAAATCTGCTTTTTCATACTGGGACATATAATCATCATCTCTTTATCTAATTGCAGAACATTTCATCAGCCCCCGGAGAACTCCCTTCTTAATTAGCAGTTAACTCCCTGTCTCATCCTTCCCTCGCAGCCAGTCTTCTAGTTTCTGTCTGTATGGATTTGCTTATTCTTGGGTATTTTATAGAAAGAGAATCACATGTGTCACTCTTCTTTCACTTAGCAAAATGTTTTCAAGGTTTGTCCATGCTGCAGCCTGTATTAGTCTTGTGTTTGTTCTTGTGGCTGAGTAGTATTCCATTCAGTGAATACCCCACATTTGTTTATCCATTCACCAGCTGCTGGAATGTTGGTTATCTCTGCATTTTGACTGTCACGAGCAAAACTGTTGTGAATATTCGTGTGAACATGTCTTCATTTCCCTTAGGTACACATCTTGGGGTGGAGGCTGGGTTTTATGATAACTGTATGAACTTTTGGAGAAACTGCCACTTCCACAGCAGCTGTGCTACTGTACAAGTGTGGGTTCTGGTCTCCACATTCTTGCCAGCGGGGAAGGGTGACTCAGTGTATGTGAGGTCTTTTTCCTCTTCCCCCTCCCCTTTCTCATTAAACTGTTTTTTTTTTAAATGAGTCTGAAAATTTGTGACACATTTTTGCTCAAGTTCTTTCTATTAATAAGCACTGAGTGAAAACAAACAACAACAATGACTCAAAACTTCCATACATACACAAACATGTGTCCACACAACATTCTTAATTTCTGAAGGTTTTTCCCACGCCAGCCTTTCATTAGGTTACAAGTATTAGGAATGATACTCCATCAGCCTTGAGCTTCCTAGGTAGAGTTGGTGCCTTCCCAGCTCCTGTGCTTCTTGGAGCATAATCAGGGAAGCTCCTTAACACCTACACAGCCTTGCTGGGGACCTTATAGCCACCTGGTGATGGTGGCTGCTGCATCAGCTTTCAGGAACTGAGGACCGCCTTCCATCTTTGTACCAGAACAGGGATGAGTCTATCTCTTCAGCAACCTTGCAAGCAGTGGACTGTCAGAGTCCAGTAGAGGGCCAGAACGTACATTGATTTAGCCTGGATGGTTCAGGATAATCATGAGCAGTGAGGATAGCTACTTCTAGTGACAGGTAATTTGCTGTTTTGTAGCACTGCCAGACACACGTATTTGATGCCAGCTCCCTCAGGAGTAGCTTCACTCAGAGCCTCGTGGTGCCTTTCAACACACTCTACTTCATTTGTGGCATTGGCTGGAGAAAGGCAGCCACCATACTGAGTTTGAAAACCACAGTTCCCCTCAGTTCACGGGGACCGCATCAACACCACCAGTTTGTAAGCATTCTGGAAGGGCGGGCACAAAGGCTTGTAGTTTGACAAGTTGGTGGCAGGAGACAGTCTGTACTTGAAGTGGTGTGGTTCTGCTTGCATTGCCACCTTGTGAGTGACATTCCATCCCAAGGACAGAGGCATGTTAGTACTTGACTAAGACCAGGAATTTGGCATACATACTACAGTGTAAAGGCTGGAGCTCATTTTCTTGGTGTAAGTGCTACCTTTCTAAATAAGAACTTTGTTGCTGTAGGGAGCAGCTGTTAGCTGTTTCATACCAAGTGTCTAAGCTGGAAGGTATGCTCATGGGTAGGCCAGTTTTTCTTCTTCCTCTTCTTCAAGACAGGTTTCTCTGTGTGATTGGCTGGCCTGGAACTCCCTTTGTAGACTAGGTAGGCCCCAAACTCAGAGATCCTCCTGCTTCTCTCTCCCCAGTGCTGGGATTAAAAGCGTGTGCCACCACTGCTCGGCGATCTGCCAGCTTTTTGAGAGACCAGCTTTAAAGTTACCAACATCAGCAGCAATAATCAAGACACATAGGCAGTCTTGACGACGTACCTGTCACCATATTTTTATAAAGATCTATGCTCTGGGGCATCAGTGCTAGTCACACAATACTTGGAGGGCTCAGATGTCAATGGCGAGAGCTGCTCATGCTCCCCCCCCCCCCGCTTCATCTTATGACCCTGACATTCTCAAAGGAGCCCTCCCCATCTCAGCTGCCTGCGTCACAAGCTTTAACATGTGTTTTGGGAGTTTTATGTGTCTGAGTGTTTTGCTTGTATACAAGTTTGGTATACCACATGTGGGCCTGGTGCCCAAGGAAGTCAGCAGAGAGCATTAGATGGCCTGGAACTACAAGTACAGATATTGTGAGCTACTTTGTGGGTGCTAGGAGCTGAAGCCCAGGTCCTCTGCGAGAATAGAAGAGTGCTTCTAACCACTGAGCCTGCTCTCTCTAGGCCATACTTAACAGAATTTTAAATGTTTTCTCTTTCTTTTTCCCTACCACATTTGCAGATGACCTGGGCAGTAGTGCTAGACGAGCCTGAGTCTACATGACCACTAATGCCGATGTTGGTAGATGAGTCTTCTTTTTTCCTATTTTGATTTAGGTAGTTTTCATGGCATCTGTGTTCTGGTAGCAAATCCATTGCAAAAACCATAGAGTCTTTCTTTTTCTCTTCTCCTCCTTTCCTTCCTTCCTGCCTGCCTTCCTTCCTTTTTTCCTTCCTGTTCTCCCTCCGTTTCCCTCCCTCCCTCCCTCCCTCCCTCCCTCCCTCCCTCCCTCCCTCCCACCTTCCCTCCCTCCCTCTCTCCATCTCTCCCTCCCTCCTTCTCCGTTACCTGTGCTGCAGGACCTGCTATGCTGTGGTCCTTCTGCCTCACCCTGCTAAGTAGCTGAGACTGACTGAGATGAGACACCGTCACCCCCACCCCATATGGCTTTAATTTGTTACGTGCTCCATCAGCCTTCATGTGCCTCATACTTCGAAGCACAACCATCAGCAGCACTTTTAGAAACCTGATCCAGTGACCTGACTGCACAGGAAACTTCAACCCGAATTTCTAGTCCCCTTTTTTTAATGTTAGTATTAGGAATTAGGATCACTTTAGACTAAAGAACATAAATTATTTAAACTTCCAAATACTTATGATTTCATGTGTTATTATTTCTGAATTTAGCTAAATCTTTTTTTGGTGAAATATGTATGACATAGAGTTTACCATGGTAACCATTTTGAGTGTGCATTCCTGTGGCATTATGTACAGTTATAGTTTTTACTCACTTGAATCCTTCTTCAGAACCTTGTCATCCTTCACTCTTTTTTTTAAACATCCCTCATTCTTGAAACTGTCCCCATGAAGCATTAATTCGTCACTCCTCTTCCTTCCAGTCCTTAGCAACCCCCTTCTACATCTGTTTAAGAGGGAGTGTGAGGGATGGAAGTGAAGGGGAAGGAATAGAGACCCTGAAAAAAGCAGAGCTTGTGATAGAGAGTTTAAATATTGGTAGTATTGAAAATGAAAAAAGCAGCTGTTTTCAAGTTCTTAGTCTGTGTGATTGAATTGATAAAAGAAATACAGGAATAGAGCAAGTTTTGGGGAAATGAGTAGTGAGCTGTGTATTGAATGTGCAATCAAGGCAAGCAGCTAAAGATAATGGTCCTGATTTCAAGAGAGATACTTGGGAATAGAGAAAGAGGGAAAGTATAGAAATTAAAGTTAGTCTAACTTGTTGATGATATTTTCTTCTTCCAGCATCCTTGGAAGATAATGTCTTCAAATCTGGTGTATAAGTACTTTTTGTAAAACTGAGGTTTATGTTACTTTTCAGGCCGAAGCCAGGCTAGCAGCAAAGCGGGCCGCCCGGGCAGAAGCAAGAGACATCCGCATGAGGGAACTGGAAAGACAGCAACGAGAGGTAACTGGAAGACTTAGTCTGTGTGTGAGCATGCATGCGTGGATGTGTGTGCTGTATTTGGGTGAGGGAAAGAAAGTGATAGAGAGATCTCACTTTCTTGAATCTCAGTACATTGGGCTTCTTTGAGATATAAGGAGACAGTGGTTGGGAAAGCCCCAGATTGGACAGCTTTCTTCTCAAGGTGCTGTCTCCTCCCCTTGAGTGTAGATCTGAGTCTTGCCTTCCTCGGTCAGCAACTGTTTTTTTATTTTTAGATAAACCAGTTCAGAGTGGACAAAGAGAGGAGGGGGCATTACAGAGATTATATAAAAAGGATGGTTGTTAAAAGTGCTGGGGCTTCAGGGTGGCAAAAGTCAGGCCCCGTCATTCTTCAGTTCATAGTTCCAGTTCTCTGCCTTCAAAGCAATCATTTAATAAGTCTGTCTGTACATTTTCTGTATTTTCTCTCTTACAATATAAATTTGGTTTCTGCCCACATTGTTACTATCTTCACTGTCAATCCTATTCCCATAGAATGTGGGGAAACACCTCTGTAATGGGTCTTTGTGCTAAATGGGGAGTGACCTAGAAGTTTTGGAGTGGAAGATTTTGACATAAGATAGGTGCAGGTCCAAGTGAAAAATCACAGTGAATCCCAGCTAGCTGCTGAATCCTTACTTAGCGTTTTGAAGCATACTTGATAGAAATATGTGCATGTAAGAGTATGGGGGGAAACCCAAACTACAGAATTGGCAGAACACTCAAAAACAAATCAGAACAACCAGTGCCTTTATATAGGGCAGAAAGAACTGGTTTCATCAGCACTTTGGTTTGACAATGTGAATTATAATTGGCTTAATGCTTTTCTGTAATTTAAAGATTATATTATGCTTTTGTCATCAGAAAAGAGGGACAAAAGTAAAATAGGCAAATGGAAATTGAGCTAAGATGACATACTCATTAACCTTTCTGATTTTGACTTGGATCTGAAACTGACACAAATGTTTCATTGTTTTATTTATAAAGGGGAAAACATCTATGGAGGAGTAGTAACCAATTTATTTTGATGTTATTGGTACATTTTCTATTGATAAGTTAAAAAAAGAAATTTATATATTTGTGTTCTATGCTAATGTAATTTTTTCCCCTTAGATACTGTTTCAAATATTGGATATAGTTCTTGGTCTGAAATGTAATGTTCCAATGGATTGCCTTTATGCTCCTAAGGTTATCCTAAATTATAAATAGAAGAAACAGTTATTAACAGAATTTCTGTCTATGGAGAGAACTATGTATCTTTTTGTTATTGAACATATTAGCTTAGTAATTTCTTGTATTTTCAAAGTGTAGCTTTGAGTCACCTGCTGCTGTTGTCTAGGGCAAGTGTATGTGACTGAGTTTGTTTTTTTTTCCTTTGAGAATGCAGTGAATTGAAAACCATTCAGTTTATAAAACTTTTGTATTCATAGCCCTCTCATCATTCCTTTGACCGGAAATGGGGACAGATTCAGAAGTGGCTGGTAGGCCAGGATTGCCTGTTTTGCATGCTGTGATAAACTGCTGAACTAACAACATCGAAGCAAAACATTGACTAATGGTTTGCAAAGTAGGCGGTTTGGTCTGTGTGGACCTAAAGGTCACAGAGTAGCTGTTCTGTGTGCAGTAGATAGATGGGTCCTAGAGCCAAGCATTCTCTTTTGTAGTCCGAGGCCTCACTTTGAGCTCATGCAAGTCTCAGATCAAGAAAGACTGAGTAAATGAATGTCTGCTTTTTTTTAATGGGTTTGCTTTTTCTCCCTCAAATCCCCATTAACTCCTTTCATTTTCCATCTTTAAAAATTAACACCACAGGCTCTTCAATGTGAGAGATGACCTTAGGCCTATCCCATGTGTTCTGATTTCGTTCTTATTTCATCTCTTAGCTCTTTATCAGGTCCGCTACCATCACTGCTGCAAAAGCAAATCCCATACTAGTTAGTTGCCATGAACTTTCCCAAGGTTCCCAGCCACCTTTTATTGCAGGGTTCTTAATTTGTTGTGTGACTAGGCTTGGGAGGTGTGCTCTATAAAGACCAAGAATAACATGCAAACACTTGAAAGTGGTATGTTCCCCCACTCTGTGGTTCTCTCTCTCTTCTTTATTTTTTTCTTTGAGACAGGGTTTCTCTGTGTCGCCTTGGCTGCCCTGGACTCACTTTGTAAGTGGCCAAGCTGCCTCTGCCTCATGAGTGCTGGGATCATAGGTGTGTGCCACTGCACTTGGCTTTTGTGGTTATTTTCAAGACAAGGTTTCTAAGTGTAACAGTTTTAGCTGTCCAGAAACTCATTCTGTACTAGGATTAAAGGAGTGCCCTACCACACCTAACTTGAAAGTGCATTTTTATGGGAAATGTTTATAGGTATTTATAGGTATTTTTATCACCAGATTCAAAAAGAAGTTACCCAAGGAGTTTAAGAACCACTGTCTCAGCTGCTGCTCACACATCAGCTTTCCCAAACAAAATGCCCTCCAGAGCAGCAATTTAAGATACAACTAGTCTTACAGGATTTGTAACTGTGTTGACCTTTGTATTTAAAACTTATCAGTCATTGTTCTAATCAGTTTAGAAAACTGAAAAAGTCGCTTGGTGATCTAAAATTGACCGGCTCCTCAGGTGTGTGTTTGTTATTTTGGAGTGCAGCCAGTGCTTTGTAACTGAAAGTGATATAGTCAATTTTATCTAATGCTTGTAAATGTGTCATGCTATTAATGTATGAAGAAGAGTATTTTGTTTGAAAAAACAAAAGTCACTTACTTTTCCTTATAGATATTTTAATTAAGCATTTAAATCTAAAATTGCTTAACATTTTAGTAGCTTAGGTCAGACTAAAAAAGCTAAACACAAAAGCACACCTATAATTCCAACACTCAGGGAGGCAGAGGCAGGTGGATCTCTGTGAGTTCAAGGCCAGCCTGGTCTAGAAAGTGAGTCCAGGACAGCCAAGGCTACACAGAGAAACCCTGTCTCAAAAATCCCCATTTTTGAAAAAAAAAAAAAAGTCTAATATTTCATTTCTCTGTCCGGGGACTGTAAAGATAACCATTGTAAAAGAGTCATTGGTATGTGTAGTTTAACTAGTGAGGATATTAGTCTTATCAGGTATTTGGTTTGAGGCTTAAAGTGTAGTTGGTGGTTAACCTGAGTCTTGATTGATAGGATTGGACACACATAAGAAGTGGGAGTTTGCTTCTGATGGAAATAATTGCCACTCCTCACTCCTGCCACCGTTCTTTCCTCCTTTCAAATGGATTCTTCTGTTCTCCTCTTACCTGTTCTTTGGCTCCCTTGTTTGTAAGGCCACAATATCTTGACATTCATGATATTCTTGAGATAAACTGTTAGTGGCCAATTGGTTTTTGGTAAAAATCTATGGTACATAACTACAAATAGGACTGTTGATGATTCTTTTCATGTTAAATATTTCCCTTGATTCTAACTCGTGTGTGAGTGTGTGTGTGAGTGAAGGAAGCTACTGTTGTGTCAGCACTTTGCTTTACGATAGGGGCTACTCTCCATTTTATATATGAGCTCTTAAGGGTTTCCTGTTTGTTTGTTTTACTTTTTTTTATTTTTTATTTTTGTCAACTTGAAACAAATGTAGACATACTTGGGAAGAGGGAATTATAACTAAGGAATTTTGTCCATCATATTGGCCTGTGGCCATGTCTGTGAGACATTTTCTTAGTTACTAATTGATGTAGGAAGGTCCAGCCTACTGTGGGTGGTGCTGTCCTTAAGCAGGTGGGCCTGGCTGTATCAGAGAGGTGGCTGTGCAAGCCAGAGGAGACAACACCGTGAACAGTGTTTCTCAGTGGTCTCTGCTTCAGTTCTTGCCTCTGACCTCCCTCGCTGATGAACTGTAACCAGTAAGCCACATCAACCTCTCCCCCCAAGTTAGCTTGGCTTTGGTCAGTGTTCTATCACAGCAACAGATAGGAACCTAGGATATGAGCTGAGAAGGTAGAGATTTAGTGACACAAGTAGCCTGTTCAATCATTGGCAGAGTCAGAATTTGAAGGAGGAAGGAGTGCCACAACTGGTGATCGAGGTGAAGCAGGTAAGGGAAGGGCCCGAGTCTTCTGGGTTTCCAGATGGCCCTGTAGCCAGCCTTTTCTGCTTCTCATGGTTCTGATTTTAAGTTGTGTGCTTCAGTCAGCGTCATTGCTGTGTGGCTGGAAGAGTAAATGCAGTTTCCAGTGTCTCCTCATCTGAAACTGGAGAAACTGGAGCAGCTCCAGCTCCAGTGTAAAGATGTTTGTAGACAGAAGATGGCCAGGCATGTTCTTAGAGCTGTGGTTTTCTTTTACTAAAACCTTCTTCTCACTTTAAGTGAACTTTTAAAAAGACTGTGTTTTAGTTTAATTAATGTAATTTGAGTATATACCAAGACAAATTTCCAGAAAGTTTTGCTTTGATGTTTTTATGCTTTATTAGTTCTTATGAGAAATTCATTCATCACAGAAAACATCGTTGATGAATCTTTCTCCATCTGTATTTTGCCATTACCAACATTGGCTTTTTATCCACAACTTTAAAATTTTGAGACCACCAGGGCCACACTTAGATGGAAGGAAGCTCTGCCATAGCTTTATCTCCAGCCTGTTTTTTACTTTTGGAGACAAAGTCTAAGTCGTCAGGCAGAAGTAGTCTGTTGGTCATGAACTTTCTGGCTTGGATACTTAATTTGTCATTTGTGATAGTGGCTGGTCCACAGGGAGGAAAAAAGTCTCAAAAGTTTGGACTAAATATGTCCCTGTCATTTAAGGCATTGTCATGCTTGGGTTGTTCAAGCCTAATAAGGCCACAAGGATTATGACAGTGACTGTTTCTCATGACTCTGAAGAAGGGGAACACTCTGCCTTTGTGTTTTGAACTAAGAATACAGTTTGCTATAATGTTTTATTTGTTACTGGTGCTGTCACTGCAGGCAGAGCCACTGACTGTAGATCTGACCTGGACAATGAAGAGGGCTGTTCCTCCGTGGAAGGAAGCCGCCCTGAGTTTGTTGTTTCTGTGTAACTGAGCGATGGCGGGGTACCTGCTGCGGTGGGTTTTGTATTCATAGTTCTGTGATCCGCTGACTCTGAGGGTCTCAGTGCTGACCCCAGCTGTGAATTGTGAGCCCCTGAGGGTTCCTCATTAACCCTCCTTAACTTTCTGTCCTGAAGATGAGGAGCAACTAAGACAGTCTCTAAGGATTCCAGAGCTGAACGGTGGCAACCTGACTCTCATCCTCACACTCCTCACACTTGGGAGGCCCTGGCAGGAATGATTTTAGTCCGGTTTACTGAGTGAGACCTGTCTCATAAAAACAGAATTCTGGTGTTATAACCAAGCTCTTTCAGACAGTGTTTCCTTCTGATTTCCTCATATTTGCCACTTACTGCTTACATAATTAAAAATAGCCTTCATTCTTTGCCTTCTGCATGAGTGTGGTGTTATTGAGAAAATATGTTTTGGCATGATAAAAATTGGCTTTGTATTTTCCTTATTACTTTTTCTGAATGCTTATTTTTCAAATTAGCTTAGAGAAATGCTGTACAGTAGCCATGTGCAGGTAATTAAATACATTAGAATTAAATATAATTTGGAATTTAAACTTTCAGTTGTACATTACATTAGGGTTTTCTAGAGGAGCAGAATCCACAGACTGAATATATATTATTAAATTATATTACATATAAATTTATATTTATAATACCAGCAATTGTTATACATAAATAATAATTATTATATAATATATAAAATATATAGATTGTTAAATAGTTTACATTAAAATAGTTGCAGCAGTTGTCTCACACTTGAGAATCTGAGAACCATGTAGCTTCTTTTTTAAAAGTTTATTTATTTATTATATAAATATTATTCTGTCTGCAGGCCATAAGAGGGCACCAAATCTTATTATAGGTGGTTGTGAGCCACCATGTGGTTGCTGGGAATTGAACTCAGGACCTCTAGAAGAGCTGACAGTGTTCTTAACCTCTGAGCCATCTCTCCAGCCCACCATGTAGTTTCTTGTTCCTTTTCACTGGATGCTTCACCATTTGGAGTTTCTCATTGGAGCAGTTTTCTAGCTGTTGGAGGCCAACAACCTTGCAGTCCAACACACTGGGTGCCTCACCAGTCCTGATCTGGTGCCCCAAACCTGGAAGGTTCCCAGAGAGCTGCTGTTTCTTAATCCATGTGGAAGCCTGCAAAGGCTACTTCTGCCGTCAGTGATCAGCTCAGCAGTAGAAGGGATGAGCAAGTGAGCAAAAGGAATGGTTTCCTTCTGCCTTTTTTATCTGAGAGACCACTAGAAGGTAGTGGTCACTCTCCGGCTGCGTCTTCCCATCTTGCTTAAGGTTGTTCTATTAAGTGTATTGTTTAGAAGGCAGGGCTGTTCTTCAGTTGAGGCTCCCTGCTCTGGTGACCTGATTGATTTGTGGCACGTTGGACCATCACATAGTTTCAGCATTTCCAGTAGCCACATGTAGCCATGTTACACATATAAACTGTTTCTGTCAATACAGAAAATGCTATGGACTGCTGGTTTAAAGTGTGGCTTTTGACTAGGAGATAACCCATCTTCCTTGTGCAAATGAACTGTACAATATGCAACACTTTTATTTTGTATTATTTTTAGGTCAAATTTTCTTTCTTCAAAAATTGTTTTTACCCTGGGCAAGGTGGCGCTTGCCTGTAGTCCCAGCTCTTGGGGAGGCAGAGGCAGGTGGATCTCTGTGAGTTCAAGGCCAGCCTGGTCTAGAAAGTGAGTCCAGGACAGCCAAGGCTACACAGAGAAACCCTGTTTCTCAAAAAAAGTTTTTGTAACTAGGTTTATTCATGTTTTATTTTATGTAAGAGTATTTTCCTTACACATATGTTGCGGACCATTTGTGTGTCTGATGCCTGAAGAGGTCAGAGGAAGACATTGGATCCCCTAGAGTTGCTGATGTTTGTGAGCCACCATGTGATGGTGCTGGGTATCAAAACTAGGTCTTTTGGAAGATCAACAAGTGCTGTTAATCACTGATTCAACAATAGCCTCTGTCAAATTTTCAATGGAATTAAAAAGAAAAGCTGCTTCAGTGTAGATGTGTGTAAGTGCTTAATAAGATTTTAGTGTCGAGCTACTTTGATAATTACATGGCTGCATGACGAGGGTTCATCTACTCTTGTGCCTTTGGTGGGATGTGTTCTTCAGATGGGTTTTTGTTTGTTTGCTTTAGATACAGGGTTTTATTATGTAGCCCCAATGGGCCTGGAATTCACTGTGGACCAGACTTGTCTCAGACTCACAGAGATCTGCTCGCTTCTGCCCCCTACATGCTGGGATTAAAGGAATGTACATCTGGCTAGATGTATTGCTTAGAAGTGCTCTTCTATGGTTGGTAGGATGGAAAGAAAAGAGAGTGTAAAGGGAGGATTAGAGTCTCAACCTTGAATAGTACCCACATGTTTCTAAGACTTGTGGTATCGCTTACAAACAGTGTATGTAAATCAACGATTAATGCTTAGAGATCACACCCCCCTGTTGGAAGTGAAGTCACAGCATCATCACATTATCTTTAAGTGGACTTTAGGACACGTCTTAAAAGTATAGCAGTGTTCACAGTGGATGTCAGAAGATTTTTTAAAGAAGTCATACACAAAAATCAAGATCAAAATGAAGGAGTAAAGTGTGACGTCTTGGTTGAATTGCTGTTTCTGTTTTGCAGTGAATGGGCAGATATGGCCCCATGTATTTTTCAGCTGCATAGTGGCCTACTGGATTGCTGTGGGCTGTAAATGTAGCATCGCTTCCTTTAGGAAGATAGTATTGCTGTAGATAGGTATGCTCACCTAGACTAGTTAGGTGTATTTTTAGTCATAGTGCAAATTCCTGTAATAATTTGGACAGTAAAATTATGAAAAATCAGAAATTCCTAATGGGTGCAGGTGCCCATATTCTGAGGACTAGCTATTAGATGCCCATGTAAAGCTTTGCTGCTCTACTGCTGATGGGCAAGTGTGGAAACATTGTGAATTGCACATAATTTAGTCAACTGTAAGGTGTAGTCGGTCTCTTTATAAGCTGTGTAAAGCGTGTAAGGCGTGACTTATCTCTACCAACTATGAACATTTATGCTGTTTTCCTGGGTGGTTTCTCACAGAAACACACACAGATGTATATCCTTATTTCTTTTATTTTTCTAGTTAGAATAATGATAGGAGGGAAAAAACAACAAGAACCAAAAAATTTTCCTTACAGGGAGCAGGGAGCACCAGACTATAACCTAGTATTTTAAAAGCAGTGTACATTCTTCTTAAAGTACATTTATGACATAGTAAACATCTCTCCTTGCCGATATGAGCCAGCACTTACAATGCAAAGTAAACATCTGCCTTCAGTGCACAACTCAGCATCTGTTTGCAGATTGCTCTTACGTGTTTTTAGCTCCATATGTCGAACTCTCTGGGCCACAAGTAAGTAACAAGTGCTCGGCGTATGAACACCGCTGGAATAAAGCACCGCCTTGATTGAGTCTGCCTTGCCACTCAGTGCATGTGGTGCTACCGAACTGGGCTTTGGGATACAAGTGCCCAAACCTGCTTTTCCTCAGAAGGTGTCTCTGTGCTTTTTTGACTGGCTGCTTTTGCTCCTTTGCCCTGACAGTTACTTGTTCAGTGATTAATTATTCATGTACTTTCTTCTTTCCCAGGAAGATTCAGAAAGGGCCAGGCATTCTCAGCGGTCTGGTCGTCACCGTCCATATCTGGTTTGTAGTGATATGTAAACTTGCCTGTGGTGCTGTTCCTTGTTGGCTTCATTCACTCACAAACTTCTAATATATTTGCTTTTATTTTCATCAGGGAGTTGAGGATACATTGTCTCTTCGAAGCCTTGGCAGTCACAGGGTTGGTATCCTAAGTTGTTTACGCTGAACAGCAAAGCTTTTACCTTTGAGCTTCCTTCAGCATCAGTGATTATGCAGGCAATATGACAGTGTACACTTATTCTTTTGCCTTTAACACTAAGTGGAAAACGCTGCCAAAACTCCTTAATGGAAAGAGATGCTTTCTCTCAAATTATTGCTAGAAGTGAATCAGTTCTAAAATCGTTGATGTTTTTATCCTAACACAGGCCTGTTCTTAATTTCTATAGAAATTTCATTGATTTCCACAAAGTATCACAAAATGATAACATTGAATTTTATAGGATAATGTTTTTTTTGTCCTAATTTTTAGGTTTTTCCTCTTTTTACATATTAAACTGACAGTCTATTAAATGAGCAATAGCTTTGGCGCTTGCCTGATTAATTATAATTATGTGAAATTTTTGGCTTGAAAATTTTTCTTACCATATGTGTAGGAATTATGCTTTGACATTTTAATTATTATTTTATAATGTCCCAACCTTTTAGTGCAGATCCCTGTGAGTTGAGTGCAGATTTGCTGCCTGAAGTCCTGCATGGAGCACAGCCTCTCCTTTTCTTCTTAAAGAATTGGGCCTTAAAACAGTGTTTTGCATTTTATGTTATGTTTCTCATCAGTAACATCATCTTTCATGTTAAGGGGTGTGTATATTTGTTCCAACTCTGACTTACTTCCTGCTTTATATAAAAATGGACTAGTTAAGCTATTCCGACATAACAGGTATTAACAAACTCGTATTTGTAAATACTCCATTACATTCTAATACATTATTTTCTTTTGCTATTTGTAACTATTGTGTTTGCATAATAACTTTGTAAACTGGATTCAAGTTCTAAGTGCTCTGTTTAGTTACAAAATTTAGATTTGTTTTAGAGTATTTTCATTTTTTTTAAAGAAATGTGAGCTATCCGGTGGCGTGAAGGTGTCTTGAGGGGGCTGGAAGGCTGGCTCAGCGCATGGAAACGCCTGCCACCATTTCAGAAGACTTGGGTTTAGTTCTTCTCACCCACGGGGCAGGACTCACAGCAGTCCCCAGCTCCAGATCCCGGGCGTCGGGTGCTGTCTTCTGGGTACCCATTGTACACATGCAGCAAAACGCTCCTTTCAAATATTTTTATATCATGGATGTTTTTTAGGCAGAAAACGTATGCATTTTGTCATGCTTCTTGCTAGAGGTACTTTTTCTTTCCTCTTTAAATTACTTGAAAAAGATTTATGTAATGAGTCCACCAAAGTTTCAAAGTTGAGGGTCAAGGATATTCCACATTTTCTTTTTGTGACCAGTTTCTTTGCTTTTAGAATGCTCATAGTGTGAACGTTCACACATTTCATTTCTTACTGAGTTAGTGGGACCTAAGTTAGGAATGAAATCTACTTACTCTGATAGGGAACTGTCCAACTGGAGTGGCTGGAGGGCATCCATGCCAGTTTCCTTTTAATGCAGATTGTGTCACTAACCATTTGAGATACAACTTTAATTCTCTCTCCTTTTTTAAATTACAGTAGCTGTAAAAATGTGTTCCCATGGGTAGAGGAAGACTTCCCCTCCCCCACCCCCAAGATAGGGTTTCTCTTTTTCTGTGTAACTGTCCTGGAACTTCTTTTGTAGACCAGGCTGGCCTCCTGCCTCTGCCTCCTGAGTGCTGGGTTTACAGGTGTGCTCACCACACCCTGCTGACTCTTCATATTTTAAAAGTTAATATATGAGGGCTGAGGATGCAGCTAAGCGGTAGAGCTCTTGACTAGCACGTGCAAAGACCTGGGCTTCTCCCTCCCTGGAAGGAGAAAAATTGCATGTGAACTTGAAAGGTACTGAAGGAGGCTGTACTTTCCTGATATGTCTGTGTACATACCCACTGTATTTCACATGCATAGGTTTTACACAGAAGTCCAAATGCTCACTGATAAATTAAATTGCATTTCTTTAAACAGGGTTCTTTGTTTTTGATCACTGTGGGGATGGAGCCCCGTTCTAAGTGCTCCTCCATTGTGGCTGAGCCACATACCCAGGCTTTGAGATTGCCCCCCCCCTTGTTTTAATTAGGGTTTCATTATTAGGATTTTATTAGGATTCCAGCCATTTTTTTGTTTTTGTTTTTGTTTATTTTATTTGTATTTATTTGTTTTATTTTGTTTATATTTGTTGCTTTGCTTTGGGGATTGGGCCCAGGATGTGTGGCAGGCCCCTGAGCTGTCAGTAGCTCTGGATTATTGGCTTGTAAAATGACTTTACCATTTCCATCAATCTGAACATGTCAGACAACCTCTGTCCTCTGTAGAAATAAATATAGTTTAAAATGATGACCTAAATTTTCTTGTGGTTTATTATATAGTTTAGAAGTTTCTCCACTTTTTTTTTAAACTTACGAGTTATGTGTTTACTGCCTCTTCTGAGGAGAAACAGAGGGAGGAATTGGGAAGAGAGGAGGGAGGGGAAGCTGTGATTGATTGGGCTGTAAAAATAAACAAATAAGAAAAAGTGAGAACTCAAAAAAAAAAAAGAAAAGAAAAAAGAGTTATGTATTTAAAGGACTCATACTATCTACACGTTTATTTGGTTTTGCAGCGTTAGCAGTACCTGGATGTGGGTTGGGTGCATTTACACTTTTATGCTGCTTAGGACTTCGAGCTTTCCTTTTGTCCATTTATGTTTCAGGAACTGCTCTATTGAAAGGTACTCCTGACAGAAGCTGTCTGGCTTGAAAATCCTATGGCTATTAAGACCAAAAATAAGGAGAACAAAGAAAGCCTGAGACTGAATCTAGGCTTGGGGGAGGGACCAGTAAGTCAGTCTTGGGTGTGGAACCATGGAACCATATCTGCCTGCCTGTTACCTGTGAGCAGATTGCTAATAATGTGGATGCCTGTAGCCACCTTAACAAAGCTCCACAAATACTTGGTTATTGTTTGTGCCCCGAGTACAAAAAGACAGTAGAAATCTCAAGTTAGAAAATAGAGTGACCTTGAACCAAAGGGTAATTACTACTCCTCAGTAGAGATTTCTACTGTTTAGTTACTGTTTATTTAGTTCCTAATCATATATTAGTGGCTTTGAAATAATTGTTTTTAAACTCTTTAAGCTTATCTTTTGATATTTAATATTTTGCTGCTTAATTTCATTGAAGAGTTCATCGAAGGATGTTACTGGGACACACTGGAGCAGAACCAGTATACCCAAAAGGAGAGACGTGATGGTGTGTAACTCTGAAATGTGTAGTCTTCGATTTTTATGCTTTTATTGTTGATTTCTAGTATTCTAGATATAGGAACAACGGGAATGGACTAGTAAGACAAGAGAGTTTCTACTTTGTTTCCCTGTGAGAACTTTAAAGCAGGTTTCTCTGAAAATAACCCCCCAACCCCATTTAAATTGCTGTCCTGGTTTCCTTCTGTTACTATGATAAAATACTCTTGACAGAAGCATCTTAGGGGAAGAGGAGAGGGTGGATTTATGTGGCTCACACTTCCAGGTCACAGTCCATAATTGAAAGTAGAAGGGCAGGAAGGCAAGCAACAGCTTGGAGCAAAACCATGGAGGAAGACTGCTTGCTGGCTTGCCTATGGACAGACACATGCTTAGACAGACACCTGGGATGGTGCCGCCCGACCGGGCCCTCCCCTTCCCTCTCCCCACTGTGCTCCTGCATGCCATTGATGTCCACACTTCTCAATCAAGGCTGTACTTGACTGAAAGAATTCTGTGTTTTGGTCCATGGATTTTTTTTTTAAATAAAAAATATTTTAATTGGGAAAAGAAGTAAATGAAATGAAACTTTCGTAGGGAAGAGACTTGATTTTCAGAGAAATATCACATACAACATTTTCAGTGAATTTATACCAGTGGTAAAATTGTACTGCAGCCTTATATTAAATGGAATACATGGTTGAGGTTTCTGCTGTATTTACATACACAAGACAAGCTTTGCTATATTTGAACTAGTATTTTAAAATCTTACTAAAATTAGAATGCATGTTTTTATATTCTAGGATATTTTAAGCTTTATAAAATTAGCTCTACTAGAAATACATTTTATTTCATTATCTAGTCTGTATATACAAATTTCTAGTTCTCTCTATGTATTATTGAAACAAATTTCAGAAAATTACATGTAAAACACCTGTATCTATTCTATATGTATATATAATATATACTTGTTTTTATTTTTGAGATGAGGGCTCACTGAGTGGCTCAGGCTGGCCTTGAACTTCATTTCCTACTGCCTCAGCTTACTGAGCGTTGGGATTACAGGTGTATGCTGTCCGTTATGCCTGGTCTCAAGTGATGTAACTCTGCTGTACACAGCACCTTGTGATATTTTCTCCTGTGTTTCATTTTTAAATTGCATTTATCAGGAGAACTTAAAAATATTTTATTAATTTATTTTATGTATATGAGGGCTCTATCTGCATGTACACCTGCATGCCAGAAGAGGGCATCAGATCCCTGTATAGATGGTTACAAGCCACCGTGTGTGTGTGTGTGTGTGTGTGTGTGTGTGTGTGTGCGCGTGCGTGCGCGCGCTGGGAATTGAACTCAGTACCTCTGGAAGAAAAAACAGTGCTCTTAACTGCTGAGCCATCCCTCCAGCTCCCTGTATTTCATTTTTTAACTTTTAGGTAAACTCAATTAATTGATCTCAAGAGGGAATCAACTTAAATTTAGGAAGGCATTACTTTGGATTGAGGTTTTGAATAGTGTTATCTAAAGTTCTAACTCAGTGTAAGAATGTAAAAGAAAGATATTTTTACAAAATAGTATTTTTAAATGCATTGTGATGTCCATTACCTTAGAGTAAGATTGTTTAAAAGCTTATAAGACAGAATGCTGAAGAAACATTGTTAGGAGACTAAGTCCAAGTAGCTGTATTCCATTCATTTTCATGGTTTTAAAAATGTGATATTCATATTAAAGGACTTTACATGGAAATGTGCATTTTTTTGGTCTTATTAATTTTGCATATTTTTTTTGATTTGTGTCTAATGTCACTTGCTTATCAACTGTGCTTTCCACAGTTTGTTCTGGCCAAGTTTCTCTTTTTGTTGAGAATTTTCTTGAAGAAATAAGATTTTTAGGCATATGCCTCTAAGAAAGTTCAAGAAAGTGCCCCTGCTTTGATTCCAAGATTATTCTTTTGCAAGCTAGATTAGCTATGGGCTCTTCCTCGCTTTTGCTGTTTTTAAAATGACTGCAAACAGTGGTAGCACTTATTTCTGCTAAAAAAGTAAAGGTTGTATATAATATAATAATAGCTTTTGCCTTTAATTATTTTTTTCCTTTTGAAGTGGCACTGTTTTCATTTTAATATTAACAAATGTTGCTTTTTTCCTTATGTTCCTGACTTTGGCGATTCAACCAACTTTTCCTCTTTTCTGAACTGCAGTATGATACCCTCAAGGACAGATCATCAAGGCTTTCATCATTAGTATGTAGTGCATGACTGTGTGTTACGTGTGAGGTTTTATTTTGTAAACAGCAGTTGTTGCTAATCATAGATTATGACTAACTTTCATGGTTTTTTGTTGTGATCTTTTTTGGGGGAAATGTGTAACAAAGCAAAAACCATTGCTTTTGCAGTTGTGGCGTAATCTGTTACTGAAATAATAGCTTTTCCCATAGACTTGAGGATCAGTGGCTGAGAGCATGGCTCAGTGGGTGAAGTGTGTCTTTAGCATTGCAAGGCTGTAGGTTTGCCAGTACCACAGAATAAAACAAGACAAGACAAACAGTGGCCATTTAGTGTCCTGAGCACGGTTGTGCTTCTGTCTGTCCTCTAGAGAGGAGCAGGCCCCTGTGCTTACTTGCTGTGCAGGAAGACTGGTTTGTTTATTTTCTTAGCCTCATGTTTATTTATTTTTCCTGTGTATGTGTGTCACATGGCACACACAGAGGTCAGAGTACAGCTTGTTGGGGCTGGTTCTCCTCTACCATGTGGGTTCCGAGGATTAAATTCAGTTCATCCAGCATCAGGCTTGGCAGCAAGCATGATTATTCTCTGAGCCATCTCTCCAGCCACTCTGACAGTGTTTTGGCACACCCTGAGCTAAGTAGCACAGATTTGTGCTTTATTTTATGTTCCATAAGCTGACAGATTACTAAATAAAACATCCAGCAGTGATAGGTGGCAGCTGAAGATGCTTAAGCATTTTGGCGTGATAGGTTGAGTTAGCTATGGAAGTCAAACTGGCTTGTTTTCTTTGGGTTACTGTTATGTTGGTAGATTGCCCATTTCTATACTACATTTCTATATTACATAGTTTCCACTTAGGATGTTCATAGTAAAATATAAAAGAAATGTAATAAAAATATATTTTATATATTATAATATATTTCATATAAAATTATATAAATTATTATATATTTTATATAAAATATAAAAGAAATATAAACTCATTTTCACAATAAGAAAATGAGTTTATCCCTATTGTTGAGGATCTGACTCTATGTGAATTGGGTTTCCTAGGACAGCCTGTTGCCCTTGGCTGTTTCAGGTACTTGCAACTTCACAGTCTTACGACCTAGCTGAGTTTATTGTCTTCTGGTTGTCTGTTAGTAACATTGTTGTCCTTTGTTTCCCTGGGAGAAGTGATGTTTTTATATAATCACCCTTTGGAAGTACTTTGTATAAGCTTAAGTACATGCATTTTAGGTATTTCTCTTCTGAGTAGCTTATGCCATGGATCTGCTAACTTCTAAGAATACTGTCTGCAGTCTGGAGAGGTGACTCAGGGGTTAAGAGCATTAACTGCTCCTCCAGAGGACCTGAGTTGAGTTGTGAGCACTTGTGTTGGCTGGCTCACAACCGTCTATAGCCCAGCTCTGGGGATCCACGCCCTCTTTGGCATTTGCACACATACGGCATATAGGCACAAATGTTTACACACAAATCCAAAAGAAGAATGTTGTCCTCAGCAGTCAAGTGTCCTTCTGATTAACTTACGGCATTGTTTTTGCTTTTAGACAAGATGGCTAAAGGAGGAGGACTAGACTCTTGCTACCTCCAGCTTTCTAAGGAAAAGGAAGTGGGGGACAAGACTCAAGTCAGGGGTACAGTGCAGGTCCACACAGACGTCATTCTGACTCCGTGTTCTAGTAGATCTCCTTTAGCTGGCTAGACAGCACGTGGTTACAGGGAGAGGGAAGAGAAGGAGATGTGCTTGAGGCCACATGTTTCAGCCTTCCAAGTTCAGGGAGTCCATTACTAACAGACGAAAAATAGGTCCCATGTGCACCACTCTGTGGTATATATGCCACTGCTATCATTTTCATGTTGGATTTCATTCTTAAACTCTTGCTCTATGATCATTAAAGTTAACTTTCAATATTTACTTCCAGAATCATTCTTACAGTCACACCCATGGGATGAAGACGCGATCTTCTAGTTCTCATAAGGACCCACTGGTTAGTTCTGTTTCAGAAGTTTGATCCAGTTGTGGCATTAAGGACAGCACCAAATTACAAGTGGGTTTCATCAGCTAGTTTTTAGGAACATGGAATGTACTTACTGGTGGAAACAGTGAAATAGCTAATAGAGTGTTCCCATGTGAGAACCCTGAAACCCTTTCACCTGTGTGAGTATACTGCAGAATGAATAGGCTTTCCATTCCAGTTACTCGACCAAGCATTTCTGTGGAGAACAAATGCCACAGAATTAGGGTCCTCGGAACACCTCTTCCTCACTGTGCCATTGGCAGAAATACAGTCTCCAGCTCTCTGCCAATTCTGGGTTCCCATGGGAGTAATGGGAGGATTTAGCCAGAAGGGAGGAGGGAGGGTGAATGTAATAGAAAGCAGATTCTAGAGAGGCCTTGGAGTGTGGGCACCGGCTGAGATGTTCTGCCTGGTGAGGGTGTGAATGGCAGTGATGGCAGAAGCAGGGGCCTGCGAGTAGTGTCAGCGGTAGAGAAGGTCAGTTCTAAGCAGAGATCGCAGTGCTTAACCTCCACCAAGAGAGATTTGATAAGGGACTTCTCTAATCCAGCAGTTTATACAAGTGGCAATTATTCAATGGCCCTGGGTTTTTCAGGGCCATTCCTAAAAGCAGAATGAGAGTAACTCATTTATTTGCCTTTCACTTTTATCTGAGGGTTTACTATCTGTTTTTTAAAGTAATAATAATTAGTAATGACTTTGCTTTTGAAGTAGCTGACCTTTAATGCCCATCATTTTCAAGATATCTTAAGCCGTTGCTGCTGACTTTTTTCTTCCCTGTGAGCCATTGCTCTAACGGCAATGCTCTGGGAAAGAAGGAACCTCAACAGTATCAGACTTTGCCTGTGTGTTCAAAATTTGTTTTGGTGAGGTTGCATCAAAAACATGTAACCTAAAAAAACAAAAAACAAAACAAAACAAAAAAACGGTGGTAACTTTTGCTTTTTTCAGAGTGGGCTCTACTTTGACCAGAGAAACTATAGCAGTCTTAGACATAGCAAACCTGCCTCTACCTACTACTTCCGGGTTTGTCTAGAGTTCTTTGGCTCATTTATCTTCCCCACCCTTAACACCTCTCTAATCCCCCACTTTGCATTTTGACTATTTGTAACAAATTTATGAATGGTTTGAATGTACCAGTTTTGATAACTAATTCTATAATCCTTCTTGTGTGTCTTTAGAGAGAACTGCTAAATTACCATGTTTGTAATGAAAATTTTAAACAGAAAAAGAATTTATGCAGTGAACATTGCATTCTTACTACTTAGATTATATAGCTTATTCCCTTAATCATAATTATTTGTTTATTACCTCATCTATCATTTTTTTTTTTTTGAGGCAGATTATTACTATGTCTATAGCCCAGGCTCAAATTCAAGATTACTTTGCCTTAGCCTTCCAGTTGTTGGCATTAAGGTGAGGACCACCATGCCCAGCCTCTATCTAGTTTTTTGATTTGGTTGAAAATAAGCTATAGGCATCAATACACTGATAGGTAAACTTTAAAGAAGTTTACGTGTGAAAATATAAGCTACATACAAGACAAGAGGGCTGTTATTGTTTGTTAGAATATTAATGTAGTGTTAGAATCTTGTTTTTCTTTTTTGTCTGTTTTGGAGGTTTTGCTTGTTTTTTTTGTTTTTGAGACATGGTGTGTCTCTGTAGCCAAGGCCTGCTCATCCTGCCTCAGCCACCCATGTGCTCAGTTTGAAGGCAAGTGTCACTACAGTCAACTAGAGTATTTTTTTTTTAAAGACATTTACATTTAAAACATACTTTAATGTGTGATACCCAGTACATTTAAAAGTAGTCAGGAATGGGAGCTAATCTATATGATAGAATATTTCATTAAAACCTGCCAGGCTCTGGATTTGATTCTAAGCACTAGAGAACACTGTCAATTTAAAAACCTGCCTGCACTCACAATTTCACTATTCTTGTTTGTCTAAGTTCAGTGAAAAAGAACTGAAACTTGTGTCTTGAGTGACAGAGGGAAAGAAATGTAACTTTTCTATAAAAAGCACTTGTAGTGCATGAACTCAGTGGCCAGTGTGGTGGCTGGTTAACAAGTGTGCAGTGTCCATGCTGTGATCTGAAAGATAGGCTTTTGGATCTGTTGGAGGGAAAAGTAGTGAGAGCAGTAACTAAGAGCTCCCTTAGTAAGTCCTCTAGAACATAGCCAAGCCCACTGGGAGCGTGTCGCAGAAGCATTGGCAATGTCTGAGGAACAGCCACCAGGCTGCTCCGAGGCCACCATTTGACACACTCCCAGTACCATGGCCCCCTTTTCTCCAGTGCCTTCCTGGGTCCCCACATCACATCCTGCAAATAATTTGCTAATACCAAAAGGTTGTAGTCATATTGATGGATGACTGCTAGAGGGATTTTCTTTCTTACCCTTAACAGCATTTAAAAAGTTTGTACTGACTTTTATTTCCTGTGTTTTCACACTGTTGAAGCATGTGGGTCTGGCTAATGAATGTGGAAGCACAAACTCAAAGTTGTCTGCTTGTGTGATGTGAAGTGCCTCTCCTGTCTTTTTTGTTTTTGCTTATTTCTATCATTCTGCCTCTCTTACAGTCTTCTTCCCTGTGCAGTGAGCCTCTGGGCACATCCAGGAGTCAGAACAGGGTTAGTACTTTCCAAGGAGTGTGTTGCTGTCACAGCTACTCTTGGCTTTCTGTAGGTTTAATAAGTGCACTTTCCCCATAGGCCTCCCCAACTGCAAATTCTGGTCTGCTGAGAAGTACCAGTCTGGTTTGTATTTCCTTCTTCCAGTGTGCTCTGCGGTAGGGCCACTGTCAGGGAGCTGCTCAGCTGTGTGGACTTCCTGCCGTGTATCCTGCAGTGTACGCTGCCTGTGCTTAGGATGCAAAACTTAGGGCATGAAAAACAATCCTGTTCCCTTTGCCAGTGTAGAGATGGATGATTTTTGGTAGCGTACGTTTTAAATCATTTCCTGCAAGGAGAAAGACTCACTTGGGTCCTACTACACTCACATAGTTTTCTTTGGTATGATTGTGACCCGAGGCTATGGCAGTCAAAAGACTGTGAAGCCAGCTGAATTAAAAGCATAACCAGTAGCTTTGTGTGACATGCTTGTTGTTGGTGCTTTTAATTGTTTGGTGTTCTGTGGCCAGTTTCAGAAGACTTTCCCGCTGTTTGTTCCTTTAAGAGACTAAATGAATTAATGTTAGCTTCCTCATGTTATAACATGATAGGGAAAGAAAATACTGTATTGTTTTTTTTTTTAAGCCAAGTATATTGTTGAAGTTTTATTGAAAATGATACAGCAGATTGTTTATGCAAGTGAATATAACACAGCGTCCTGAAGCAGTTTTTGAATTATGAACTGCCAAAATAATAAGACTTTTCAAAATAACTCCAGTGCTAAATAGATAAATAATATTCTTTTGTTCTTTAGGCATCATTGTATGGTGGATTATATAACCCTTATGGTTCTCGAACTGTAAGTCTAAATGGGGAAAGGGGGGTGGGATACAGGAAGGGACCGGGAGTGATTTCGCCTAGCCCTGTGCTACAACATGTGACCCATTCATTCAGCTAGCTATAAGAAGGTGACTACCTGAGTTATTAACATAGGATGGGGGTCTATAGAGAAACTTCTTGGGACACCTCCTCCCCTTTCGAGGGTGGGTGTGAGGTGGAGTGCCAGGCAAAGGAAAGACAGCTATTTTCATCTTGGGCATCAAAAGTTAAGAGTGGGGTCACTGTATTCCCAGCAGAGAAAGCCAGCTGGCCATTGTTGTAAAGCCTTTCTTCTTGGAAACTTTGTAGCCATCTGAATACAGTTACTACTCATCCAGAGCAAGTTCTTCCCGGAGCAGTCCTGTGGTGAGCTGTCTGGTTCCTCTGCATGCTGTAGGCGTGCTTAGCTGCTCTCAGTCACACTTTAGAATAGAGTGGTGTGCCTCACCGTCTTTTGCATGGATTATGTGCTTCCAAGTCTACAAAAACCATGTACTAATATGTGCTAATTGACTGTTTCTGTGTGGACCTGAGTAATTTCTTCACTGAGTCTGGAACTGAGGCCATTGGGCAGTCTTAAAGTGTTTGTGTTCTCATTTACGAGGGACACCCTGCCTTTCAAGTGTGGAGAGTTCCTGTTGGTGTGCTGCTCTGGGCTTTCCCTGCGTATGTTCCTGCATTGCCATTCCCCTGCTTACTAGCCCTTCTGTATGGGAAGTGCTGGAGAAGTAAAACCAGCTCTTAAAACTGTGACATACAATGATCTGCTCCTTCTGGAACATTAACATTTTTTACTTTATATACGTAAGTAAAGTTAGTCCAGGGAAGTCCGGAGTAACATGGGACCTGCGCACATACAGAGTGACATGGGACCTGCGCACATGCAGAGTGACATGAGACCAGTGCACATACAGAGTAACATGGGATCTGCTCACATACAGAGATGTTTTAGACATGTATGGGTGCTTTTCATTTTGGCCACATATCATCAAAAATTTTTAACCTCCGTGTACTGTCCCACAAATGTATAGATATTCATTTTAAAAATCACTCATTTTAATCTATTTTAAAATGAGTATACATACTCATTTTAAAAATTTTGGAAAGCATCACATGGGTGAGTTTTTATTAATGTGGACAGTTGTAAACCATGGTTCTCATAGAGAAGGAAACACCATGTCTGTGTGAGACATAAAGCAGGTGGGATCCCTCAGCCCTCACGTAAGGCTGACACTCATGGAAACCGTGGACTGGAAAGGGGAGGGACTCTACAGTGATGCTGCAGGGCTCGCCTCAGTCTCGGCAGTCTGTTACTGTTTAGAGCATAAAGGCTTTTCAGAAAAGAAGGATATTTACTCGTAACCCACTGTATGATCAAATTCTACTTGGTCATTTCAGACCTGGTGACATTTTTAATATGCTGAATGTAGTGGCCTCTGCAAAAATATTTTGATAGTGTATTTTCAGAAACACACCAGTGTGGATCCTTGTCCTTGTGAGCTGGCTAAATTCTATTTCATTTCCAATTTGGGTTCAGAATTTCTACCATAGTGATGCCATAATGGTGTCTTAAGTGACATCAGAATGGAGATAAGCTACTTGTACCAAAGATGAGTTCTGCCAGTGGAGTGGGAAGAACACAGCCCTTGAAGGGAATGGCAGTACTGTCTCCGCTGGCAGCATTGGAGTGAGTGCCAGGAGATGAGAGTCACTTCCCTGGGGCTTTGCTGGTAGGAACCTCTTTGACATAGGTTATTTCATTTTAAAACACCATTTTTTCTTTGCCAAATTGAAATCATAAGTGTATTTATTGATGTCTCAAGGGACTACACAGATCCGCAAGTCTAAAAGAGCATGACCTCCCCAGCCAACTTTGGTTTACTCATGCCCTCACCAGTGTTAAACCTAAATAAAATAATAGCTTTATTCTTTGTGCTTTTGGGAAGCATCGTGCTTTTTAAATGATAGTTCATTTTGCCTTAGAGCTTCTTACCTCTCTAACGAAGCACAGTGGCTATACCAAGTGTAGTACTCATGTAGGGTGGCCTCCTCAAATGCCCCGTGTGTTTACAGTCTGCGAGACCCAGAGGGAAACTGAATCTTTCTTACTTTCTATAGTCCATCGATGACGACACCGCAAGCATTGTGTCTTCTGATGGCGCCAGTCGTGGGCGAAGGGAGAGCGTGGTGAGCATGGTCTGCATGTGAACAGATGTTGCCTTTACAGTGACAGCAGTGTGGGATTATGTGAAATTCACTGCAAAGTAAAGTTTGCATTTGACAGAGTGAGCATTTCCTTAAATACAGCTTTTAAGAACAACTTGTTTCGTAATGTGGTCTTGAGGTGAGTCATAGGTTCATGTGTTTCATATACAAGTCATTTATTAAAAATCTTTCACTTTCTTTGTTTCTTTTTTGTATACCTATTTATCTGCTTATTTTCCAAAATGAGCCTCTCAACCGAGAGTCGCACTTCACCATCATGTAGTGCTTGCAGCTGGAATTCAGGGTCTTGCTACCTGTTGCTTCCTGTATGTGAGTTGTGTCAGTGCTTGTCCAGATCTTAAGACTGTGGCCTTGTCAGCTGTTGACAGCAAGATTTTAAACCATCAGTTCAGACATTCACCTAATTTATTATTGTCGACACGGTAATAGTTTTGTGTTACTTATCAACAAAGCTGGAAATTTTGCAGAGTGACATTTTTGGTCTCTATAAGGATCTGATGTGGAAATTATAGAGTAGAGGATGGTGTATCAGCTTAAAGCTGTAGTTCCTTCCAGAAAAGGAGTAGACCATTCAGTGCAAGCTGAATTAATGTGGACAGTTGTAAACCATGGTTCTCATAGAGAAGGAAACACCATGTCTGTGTGAGACATAAAGCAGGTGGGATCCCTCAGCCCTCACATAAGGCTGACACTCATGGAGACCGTGGACTGGAAAGGGGAGGGGCCCTACAGCGATGCTGCAGGGCTCGCCTCAGTCTATTACTGTTTCTGTACAGTGGAGATGCTAATGGCTGTCTACTCTGTTCTTAGCTTAATATGTATTCAGTGAATAACTATGGAAGATACCTTTCAAACTTTTTAAGGTAGCAAGTGCTAATAAATATTAGTATTTAAAAATGAAGTTGTAATATTGTTTTAAAGAATAAAAATACCATTGCTTGATCTTGTTAGCCTTTAGCAGACTTCATACTTTTGAGACTTTTTTTGACCCTGTGGATGGGTTTCTGGATCCATTTCTCAGGGAGGAGCTTTAAAGTGGGTGCAGACAGCTTAAGTTAAGAATAACTGATGAGTGGGGTAGGGTCATTTGGTAGGTATTAACGGAGTGCCTGCTATGTATGAGACACTGTGTTAGGAATGACGTGTCAAACCAAGGAGGACAGTTCCCTGCCTTTACCGAGCTTATGTCCTAGTAAAAGACATCAACTAGTTCAGCCTATGATGCCTTGAGCAGGTGAATGTGATAGAGGGTCTTGGGGTGGATATGTGAGAGTGACCCTGGAAGAATCATCAGGGCAGTGACTTAGGAGAGGCTCCACTGTTTGAAGAGCAAGGGAAGGGACTTCCTAGGTCGGTCCTCCTCATTAGTTAGTCCAATAGTTCCTGGGATAATGCCATGTAGAAAAACAAAACAAAACAGAAAAAAAAAAAAAAAAAAGAATTGGTAGAAATTGAGTATTGCCAGAGTTGATGGCTATAATGAATTCTAAGACTGAAAGATACAGTAGAGATTTCACAGGAGCCTGGACCACTGCCCTCGCCAGTCAAAGTTCCCAGTGCCTTGAGTGTGCCAAGTTTGCTTGACATGAATGCAGGCAGGAAATGGTCTTTGTGGCAAGTCTCTGCACTTGATCCTGGAGAAAGCTTGTTGAGGGAGCTGTGACTTCACTTAGTTACCTCTTTTCTGCTTTTTGAAATTGGTTAATTACAGAACTTTCCTCATTTTATTATACTTTATCAAACATCAGATTAAAACGTGCACAATTTCCCACTGTTAGCTAGTGTCTCTTTCCTTTCTGACTTTAAAAGCGTCTCATTTTCTCTGACTGAAAGGTCTCTGCTGCTGATTATTTTAGCCGCTGCAATCGTAGGGGGAGTGTTGTCTCTGAGGTGGATGTCGCCGGCATCTCAGACTTGACCAGCGTGAGTTTATTGCATGGTGTCATCATGTTGTTCCAGGCACGTGACTAACAGCTTGTGTAGTTATTTTTAAAATTATGAAACTAATTAAACTCCTTAGACATATTCATTTGAGCATATTACACGAAACATAATTATTTTGCAGCATATTTGTTAAGATGTGCTTTAAAACCCCTTTTCTTTCACTCTGGAATTCCTCCGCAGTTCTCATCAGCGTCTTCAGGGACCCCAGTAGCTAATTTTGTTTGGTGTGTTTTTTACTATCCCTTTTTCTGGATTATTTTAGAGCCAATGCATTTACATCCTGTCTCTTCCTGAGAAGCAGTCTGAAGTGCATGCCCAGCCTTACATTCCTAAGGAATTAGTACTTTCCTAACACCACCCTGGACTTGGCCCATGTTGGCGTGCTTCTGCTTTGCTCTTTGCCCCTCATCTCGGTTTTGATACATCTATAAAGTTAGGGCCTGTAAAAGCTGAATAATAAATAAGTTACTTAGTGAAACACCTCTGATTCTCTGTTTTAAAGTGGACTCTGGTGTTGGTGTGAGGCTCCTTGCTCCTTCGGGCACTCGCCCTTCAGGCACACTGTGACCTGCCTTCTGAGCTCATCTCTCCAGCCGCTCCCCACCTGGCAGGCACCACACAGACAAGCCCTGTTCTGATTGCCCAGCCCTTTGGAGGGGATGAGAGGTAGCAGTTCTTCCCAGAAATGCAGAGATTGTTTTTTATTAGCACTTCACTTATGCTACGAAATAGCTATTTCTGAACTATTTTAATCTTGACTATAATAATTTTAATTAATTCCAGTTGTAATTATTCCACATTACTAGTTCTTTTTTTAACCTAATTTCTTAAAAATTTATTATTTATCAATCTATTTATTACTTATTATAACTTATTCACTTTGTATCCTGCTGTAGCCCCCTCCCTTGTCTCTTTCCAGTCCCACTCACCCATCCTTCCTCTGTATCTCTTACTTAGTCCCCTGATAGGGAAGGACCTCCTCCCCTTCCATCTGACCACAGCCTATCAGGTCTCATCAGGGCTGACTGCATCATCTTCCTCTGTGGCCTGGCAAGGCTGCACCCCCGGGGGGTGGTGATCAAAGAGCCAGCCACTGAGTTCATGTCAGAGACAGTCCCTTTTCCCCTCAGTAGGGAACCCACTTGGAAACTGAGCTGCCATGGGCTACATCTGTGCAGGGGTTCTAGGTTCTCCGTGCATGGTTCTTGGTTGGAGTATCTCTGCAGGAACCCCTGGGTCCAGGTTTTTGGCTCTCTTGGTTTCCTTGTGAATCTGGAAACAACCTAGATGCCCCTCAACTGAAGAATGGATATAGAAAGTGTGGTACATTTACACAATGGAATATTACTCAGCAGTTAAAAACAAGGAAATCATGAAATTTGCAGGCAAATGGATGGAACTGGAAAAGATCATCCTGAGTGAGGTAACCCCAGAAGCAGAAAGACACACATGGTATATACTCACTTATAAGTGGATATTAGCGGCATACTACAGGATAAACATACTTAAAAACTATAGTCCTAAAGAAGCTAAACAACAAGGAGGACCCTAGGGAAGATGCTGAAACTTCACTCAAAAGGGCAAGTAAGATAGACATTGGAAGTAGGAGAAGACAGGGAACAGGACAGGAGCCTTCCACAGGGGGCCTCTGAAAGATACCCATCAGCATATTAAAGGAGATGCTGAGTCTCATAGCCAAACTTTGGGCAGGGAATCATATGGAAGAAGAGGGAGATAGAAAGACCTGGAGGGGACGTTGCTAGCTCTTAAATCTGGCTGTGCAACAGTCTCATCTTGCTGTGGATTAAACCAAGGACTTTGTCTACATAGGAAATTAGAAGCTGGTTCCCCAGTTATTCTCTAGATGTGCATTTTATTAACCTGCTTGGTAACCTCTTTTTAATTTTTAAAACATTTTAATTTATTTTGTTTATGTGTGTTCATGTGAGCATGTGGCACGGAGCACGTGTGTAGGTCAGAGGGCAGATGGCAGCAGTTGTTTCTCTCCTTTAGTGTAGTCCTGGGCATTGGGCCCAGGTTGTGAGGCTCAGTGGCAAGTGCTTTACCGCTGAACCACCTCACCAGTTCACTGGTACCTGCTTTTTTTTCCATAGATAAAAGTGAATTTACTGTATATATCTGATCTCTTGATAGCTTGCTTTCTGCCCATCTCACAGTTCATGAGACCTGGATTAGTTATATCCCTGTACATTTAGTTCTTGGCAATTTGCTTTATTAATTAAGTAGTAATTTTTGCTTCTATTAATTAAATAACTCCTTAATGTAGGCAAAAGATTGCCTAGAACAGGGCTTTCTAGGTATCTGTTATTTTATAGCCTGTAAGGCATAGCCCTTTGTATTTTTAAGTGCTTATAAAATAGCATTAATTTTACCTTTTGATGATGTGCTTAATGCGAAACAGGTGACTCTAATTTAAGAAGCAGATGCTTTAGTTCACCTCATCGAGGCAGATGAAAGGGGGTTTCTATTGGGCGATCCTTCCCTGTGCCAGCTCTGCCCTGGAGAGATTCTTTATAGGCTGCCATGTTGTGGGTGCATTGTGTGCCCACAGGATGATATTGTATAAGGAGGTGCTTGGAAAAGGGGCAGGCTGTTCTACAAGGCTACAGGAGTCATATACTGTCACCTCTTGTCTTCCTGTGTGGGTCAGGCTAGAAGAAATGAAAATAAAGGAGCATAAATATGCTCTTATTATTTATTGTATCTGGCTTTGAACAAAATTCTTAGCCAGGTTCACTTCAGGAAATTATTAAACCCAATGTTTACTTGCCATCAGTGGTTATGGAATCAGATACACTTTCTGTGTTTTGTTTGTTTTTCTTTAAACATTTTTTAGATAACCTTGTCATTATTAGGTTGACTGTTCAAATTTAATACAAAAAATCCCAAAATTCATAATGTTGTAAAATCTGAAAGTTTTTGAGTACCAACATGATGCTGTATAAACTGGTAGTCAAACTTCAGTCACACTAAAAATAATATATAAAATTAACTTTTGTGGGAAAAGTGTGAAGTATAGATGTATTCTATGTTTAGATTTGGGTACCATCCCCAGTATATCTCAGTCTGTGTATATGAGTATTTCTACACTGGAAAAAGTCCTAAATTTGAAACACTTCTTTCCCCAAGTATTTCAAATGAAGGATATTTATTAGAAGTTAATGGACAGAGCCAGGCGGTGGTGGCACACGCCTGTAATCCCAGAACTCAGGAGGCAGAGGCAGGTGGATCTCTGTGAGTTCAAGGCCAGCCTGGTCTAGAAAGTGAGTCCAAGACAGCCAGGGCTACACAGAGAAACAAAACAAAAAACAAATTAAAAGAAAAAGAAGTTAATGGATAATTGTGATCTAATGAATATAATTAACAAACCACATTGTAAACACTTGCTTTAGTGTGTCCTTTTGTACTTTAAGCATGATTAAATTTTTATTGCATTTAAAAAGCCCTTTTAGGATCTGGCAGGTACTTTTAGTCATCATTGTAAACGTTAGCTTGTCATTGCAATATACCTCACGGATTCCTAAGCTTTACAGTGCAAACCTCAGAAGTGGGACCGAAGGAGTCGCTGGCCAGTTTACTGCAGCCACAACTGGACTGCAGCATGGCTTCTTTATGCCGGCTTAACGATTCATAGGTTTGGCACATGACTGGGTTGAGTTGTGACAGTTGAGGTCTGTCAGAACACAGTGAGCACTGCAGAGTCAGCGTTGTGGTTGCTTCAGGGATGCAGCCTCTGAAATGGAGGATCATTCCAAGGTGATGGCTTAGAAAAAATGGGTGAGTTTGGGGGTGATTTGTATAAGAAAGGTCGTATGAAGAAGGATTTCAGATGGACTAGACTATTTTAATTTTGAATACTTCTTTTTTCATTAGCTTATTAGCAGAATGAATTAGAAAATACTTATAAAAATAAGGCAGTTTATGAAAATAATACTTTTTTACTCTGAATAATATTAACTATTGGGCAGTGTTCTTCACCATTGAGAGGGACACCTCCTCATTTACAGCAGAGAGTGGCAGTATTAAAATTCCAGCTGTAATTGCTTGTTTGTTGTTAAACATTTCGTTTTAAAAGTGTAACAGCAAGAAGTGGCCAAAAAGTGAAACATAAAAACCCAGCAATTATGTTACTGAGAGAGTGACTAACTGAGTAAAAGGTCTTTGTTAAACATGATAACTGGGTAATGAAAAGTACACTAAAATCTCTCAGATGTGAGGAAGTTGGGTTAAAATCATCCGAGCAAAGGCAGAAATGATGCTTCCTTCCTGTTCTAGTAATTAACTGAGGAAAGTTTTCAAATTCCCCTTCTAGACTGGCCTGGGAAGGCTGAGCTCAGAGTTCAGGATTGGGACTATTTTATTTTTATTTAAAGTTCCTATGGCACTTTTTAACTATGGTTAATAGTATATGCCAGCAAATATGAATGCTGTAGGTCATGAGACACACTCAGATCCAGCTGGGACCTTTAGTAACTGTTCAACCTCTAGCAAAGTTTTCTGGATTTTCCCCTTAGCCACAGTTAGAATTTTTGAATCAATCTATAAGAAACCTTCCTTCTTGCAGCATGTTTGGGAGAAAGTTAGGCTGAGCAGAAGAAGACAGGTTACTCTGACTGTGGCATTTCACAGGTCAAGATGACTTGCCTCTGTGAAGCTCCTGAAAGGAGCAGTCTGTGAGCACAGACCAGTGCAGTGGGTTCTGAGCCCAGAGAGGGCACGTAGACAAGGCTTTCATGACAGGGAGCAGACAGCAGACAGATGTGTCCGTGTCGTAGTGTTGGGGAATAAGACATGCTGTGAAGAAAAGTGACGTCTCAAAACTTTGATGTTTGCTAAGAGGAAAAGGAGTGGGAGAATGTGTCTGTAACATTGTTGTAAAGACTGTGAGAGACTTGGGTTGATTGTCCTTGGCAGAGAAGGGCCTGGTGGGGAGAAAGGCTGATTTCTTCTACTGTTCTGTACTGTTGAGTTTGTTATGTAAGGAAAAAATATGTTTATATCACCTGTTTTGGGCATGAAATAGTTTTATGCACATATTCTGTCTTAATAATGTTTAAAATATTTTGTATTGATATTTGCTTGTAATGAGGTTTGTATGTAGTTTTTCTTCAATGTATTTTAAATACCATGAAAAGAAAAATCTGTTTAAACAATCTAAAATTTTTGAGTCTATGCTGCTTGCTTTCTGCCTGTGTTCCTTAGGATATGAACTAAAAGTTCTTGACATTTTGTTATAACTTTTGTTTCTGTCTTAATGTGTTTACTTCTGGGTCTACACATTGTTGGACTTAGAAAACCCCATTGAGATTGTTCCTCCCCGCTAGACAAGACTCAACAATGCTGAGCATCTTCTTGATTTTTATCTTTTTCTTTTCCTAGTTGGACGAAAAATCTGACAAACAATATGCTGAAAGTTACACAAGAGTGAGTATAAAACTGTTGATGGGACGGAGCTCTCAGGGTCAGCCCGTGCTTCCTGTGACTCTTCCGTTCTGTTCAGCACAATTGGCTGACAGAGCTGTTCTTCCCATCATCTATTTCCTGTCCTTGACCCCTCAAAATTCCTTCAGCCTTAGATCATGTGAAAGCCCTGGGAAGAGAGAAGCTTCGTTTTATTTCACTGGGTGTCACCCCTAAAGCTCTTGGCTACTCCTTTGATTCCCAGTCTCTAAAAGCTGATATTGAGAAGCCATTAAACATGAGAACGAAGTATTTAGGAATGGACTGACAAACTCCCTGTTTTGATTTTTTTTTCCTTATAGATAAATCATTTCTGTAAATGTAAAGTAGGATAAGCTCTTTGTAGACGGGTGTCTGTGTAGTAAAGGGATTTTCCCCTAAACGTTTATCTATTTATTTATTTATCTACTTATTCATTTATTTATCCATTTATTTATTTATTTATTTACCTATTTATTTATTTATTTATTTATTTATTTGTTGCTTGTTGTTTTGGTTTGGCTTTTCAAGACAGGGTTTCTCTGTGTAGCTCTGGCTGTCCTGGAACTCACCCTATAGATGAGGCTGGCCTTGAGCTCCTGGAGATCCTCCTGAGTCTGCCTTCAAGTGCTGGGATTAAAGGCATGCACCACCACTGCCCAACTTCTAAACATATTTGTAAGAAGTCAGGGAAATGATGTGCTATATTAAATTTTATAATGCAACCACAACTAAAAGCCTGTACGATTTTAAATTTTTTAGTTGCACTCTAGAAAAAGCAAAATCAGTTTAAATAATATTCAGTCCAAATAAGCAACACATTTCAACATGGAATCAACATGAATGTTTTGTTTTGTGATGTTTGCGTCAGCGGCTTAGTATGTCGCCTGGGCCGACTTTGACCTCCTGCCTCAGCCTGTTGCTGGGCTTACAGTATTGTACCACCACACTCTCCAAACTGCCTGCGGCGCGCCTTGTCCACTCTTCTGTCTGCAGTAGCCTTCAAAGTGCGCTGTCATTTCATACTCAACATCTCATTTGCATTAGCTCCATCTCAAGTGCTTTCATATGGCTCTTGACAAGTATCCTGCGTAGCTTAGATCTCTGCTCTTTATTAGTCAAGTGCGGCTTTGGGGAGAACAGTGTCAATTCATAGCGGTATGCAAATGTTCCTGCTCTTAGCCAAAAATCGTGCATGTTTCTATGCAAAGATGAGATCCTCAAGCAATGTTAGGAACTAAGCAGGGAAGTACTTAGACACTAGTTACAAAGTAAACAACTCAGTGGGACAGCTCACCTGAGCAGTGTTTGAAGGTGGCAAAGATGAGCCTAAAAGTCAAAGCTTCTGTAAAAATTATTCCCACCTTTGAGTTTTGGATTCTGGCAAAGTGTTTGAGATAATGAAATGATATGAGGTATGGCTGGCCTCTTTTCTGGATGCTTTCTCTCCCCAAACCAGTCTAAACTGCTAACATGGACTGCTCTTGGTGACCTCCTGACTGTGTTGTTATAATTTTCTTCTGAGGCTCTTGCCTGCACCCACTGCTCTGCCCCAGGCTTAATCTTCACAGCAAATGTTTTTAACAAAACAGCTCACAAGTGTCATTTTCTGTCTTTTCCAGCCTTCATCTCGAAATTCTGCCTCAGCAACAACACCTCTAAGTGGAAACTCATCCAGACGGGGCAGTGGGGACACCAGCAGCTTAATAGACCCGGACACCTCGTTAAGTGAACTGCGGGTAAGCCACAGTTGCTCTGCTTTTGAAAAGCAGCTTTGGTTTCCTTGTGGTTCATAGAGCTTTTCACACTTAATGTGAATCATGAGGGGGGGGGGGAATAGGATTTCTGTAAAAACATGGTTATTACAGCTCAGAAATCCCACTTGGATACTTCAGAGCTTAAAGGAAGGGGATTAAATTATTTTTTCCAATTCTCTTTTCTGAAGATTTGATGGCATTGTAATGGATTCTGCCAGTGCCAAACAGTTATGTTACCTATATGAAAGTAATTCTTGCAGAGTGACCTTGCCATGTGTTAAGTGGAAATATTTGGATTTACAGACAACAGGTTATGGGAAGGGATTTCTAGCTTCTTGAGCCATTGTCGTATTAGTTATGCACTTGGCTACGGTTTGTCAGTGTTTCATAGCAATAGAATATAACATTTGGACAACAGAGATAAATACCTGAGCTAGTGGAAAGTTTATTTCATTCATTAGTTGAGTCTTCATCTTTCGTAGCCCTTTTATTTGGAAGATGAGAGTGTACCAAACATTTGTTTTTTACTGTATTATTTGCTGAATCTTCTCTGAGGAATGGATAAAGACTTGTGAGACAAATTGCACTTGCATATTCACTCACTCACTCACTCTCTCTCCCACTCACTTACCCATGCACATGCTCGCTCACTCACTTTCTCTCCCACTCACTTACCCATGCACATGCTCGCTCACTCACTCACTCACTCTCTCTCCCACTCACTTACCCATGCACATGCTCGCTCGCTCACTCACTCACAGTTTTTGAACACTTGGCAGTGGACATGTAGACAGCCAGTCAGATCCTGGCCTTCAGGAGATCACTGTCCACTGAAAAGACAAACTGATTTGAATCAGCTAATAGTATCCAATGCTATCAAGAACAGGATAAATTAGTTTAGAGAGGCATCATATAAGACTAGGAAAAGAGATAGCAGAGGCTGTTCAGAGAAGCAAGCTCAGAGCTGAGTCTTGAAGGGAGAATGAAAACAGTAAAACATGGAAGCTGGAGGAGAGACTGCTGAGTGAGTTCAGAGAACTTGAAGGTCACTGGTCCAGATGATTTGCAGAGAGTGAGATCATAAAGAAGAAGGAGTTGCTGGTGAAAGCAAGCAGGAAGGTGGGGGTGGAATGGTGTGGAGATGTGGGTACAAGTCATCACTGTGCTGTATTGGATAGGAGAGCAGTATGATAGGATTTTGTTCTTAAAAGTAACTCTGGCCACAGTTCTGAGGCAGAACTTAACCCAGGGCTAGAGTTAGGGTGAAGTGGGCAAGTGAAAACTTTCAAGGAAGAAAATGTAAGAAATTGGCCCTGAAGTGAGTTTGCAACGCTAGCTTTAGCATGGGCAGTAAGCCAAGAGATGGGATATCAAACAGGTTTCTGCCTTTTTGTTTTCTCTCTGTAAAAGTGAGGTTGCCTCTCTTCCTGTGAGTTGACTTGTGAATGTGGAAAGGAGGCTGAGAGCTGAGGGAGAGCAGAGAACAGCTGATGGCAGTGTCTGAGGCAAGAGGAGAGTGGGCTTACCTGGAGGGTTTTCCCATGGCCATGCCTTTCCACTGCCCCGTAGCAGAGGAGGTTGATTGTGGACTGGGCAGGTGCCTCGCTTGTGAAATTTCAGAACAGGGCAGAATGAGGACTTCTATAACAGAGGCAGGGAGGAGGCTTGAACAGGGCAGTGCAGCCATGCCTTGGAAGATGTCACATTCTTTGATCTCTTCCTGTTGACCAGGAGTGTGGAAATGCTGGGGACACAGAGTTTGAATAAGGAAAAGACTCATTTTTTGGGGACAGAGGACACCGAGACAAGCTCTTCCAGTCTTGGACTTAAGCAGCTCCTGTATAGTTCTTGGCATTTGTGTAGTGTTTTTTGTTTTTTTCTTTCTTCCCTTGAAAGAATAACGTCATAAGATTTTGGGTCATAGCACTTGACTCCTGATGGGTGCCCCAGCAAAGTGTCTGTTGAATCAGTCCAAGAGTTCAAGGCTAGTAAAGCTATCAGAGAGGGAACGAGCGAGGCAGGGAAAGCTGGTCTCCTGCACTCCCTGATGTCACCATTGCTGCACTCAGAGCCCTGATGCACATGTAGCCTGCCGTGACTTTACACGGTGCGTTGGGACACAAGAAATAATGTTTTCCATTCAAAAGTTGGCCTATTATTTTAAGAAAAGAATTTATGGAGACATTGGGAGCAAATGCTCATCTCATCACTTAAAGCCATCCTCAGAATAAAGTCTTACTGGAAACAGTTTTCCTTGTGTTTAACTACCTTCTCTTTCTCCCAACTTAATGTGCTTAGTAACTAAGTGATTTAAGAGTGACTTAGTTCTTATACTGTGTTACGTTTTTGAAATTTATTCATTGAGAGTAAAATTTGCTTCCGATTAATTTACTATGTAATTTACTAGTTGCAAGTTAAATATGCCTAAAATATTTGTGATTTATGAAGTTAAAAAACTTATATTTAAAAAAAATTTAGAATTAATATACACTTGAATATAGTTATATCCCTACTCCTGCTTTTTAATGCCAAGAAAGTGTTGATACTAGACTGATTTTTTTCCAGTCCCACTGTCATTTGAAGGATTTGCCTCTTGCAGTGGTTTGGGAGTGGGGTGTTTATATTTTTATATTTGGATTTCTCTAGTTTTAGTTGAACTAGTTGTGTTTTCATCTGATTCCTTTGAGTTTTGAGATATATTTGTGCGACGGTTCCTTCCTATGTCCTGCAGGACATCTATGACCTGAAGGACCAGATACAGGATGTGGAAGGGAGATACATGCAGGGACTTAAGGAACTGAAGGTACAGGGCTCCTTGCAGCCCACACACGCTCTTCATGCAGAAGTGTTGGTCATGGTGGCTCCAGAGTCCTGTTAACCACCGCTCATGGCTTTACTAACAGTGTTTGTCCTTCCAGCATGTGCTTAACCTGCAGAGTACAGGCAAAAGAAGCTTACAGTCTGGCTGATGTTTACATGTGTAGGGTGAATTTGGGGGGAAATGTGAGCAGAAGATAGCATAACTTGTATCTTTTTATTATTTTGAGACAGAGACTTCTCTGTGTAGCGTAAGCTGATCTTAAACTTACAGTCCCCCTGCTTTGGCTGGGATTATAGCAGACATACCCACCTCCTTACAGTTTTTAGAAATTGTTAAGTATTTAGTTGTCTCCTGGGTCTTAACCATACAACATTACACAAATGCCTAAAAATATTCTAAGGATATTTTAATTGAGAACTGGACCTTGAAATTTTTCCCAGTGAAATGAAAACATTGATTTTGTCACCGAGTCTGGTCAGTGTTAGAGGTGGGAGGAGGAAGCATTACCCTGTCCCCTTGTGAAGAAGGGACCTGAAGCATGCACACTGATTCTTTTCCTGCCGGTATGTAAGCTAAGGATTGCACATGTTTAGTGTCTTAAAGAATTTGGAGCTGGCAAGATGGCTCAGGGTGTAAAGTAGCTTGCCACCAAACCTGATGTCTTGAGTTGGGTCCTGAAACCCACATGGTAGAAGGACAGAACTGGCGGCTGCAAGTTGTCCTCTACCCTCCGTATGTGTGCTTCGGCATTTGTGTGTGCATACGCACTCATGTGTACAATAATGAATGTACTTTGAAAATTTTTAAGAGATCTAATCTTTAAAAAAAATTTGGAGGTTTGAATGACCTTTGTGTTCCCAACAAGAATGTCTGTACTTGCCAGTGTAAACGTGTCCTGCAGACATTTGTTGTAGTGGCATTTGGTTGTGCACCCCTCCCATGTTTCAGTATTAAAGAAGCTGGATATTATGAAGAAGCTAAAGGTTTCTTTAAACCGAATACCGGCAAGTTTCTAGAAGAGTGAATGCAAGCTATTCCAAAAGGTGACTCAGCACATGCCACATATGACACCGGCTTCATGACAAGGCTTCTTGACTCCTTCCTGACATGGTCTGAAATAATTCCACCACCAGTCAGACCTTTTCTGTAGGTAGCGTGGTCCAAAAGGAATTCACAGTGAAGACATGGGGCCAAAAAGGTTGAGAGTCCATCCTATATGAGCTGTGTCCCTGGGAGCTTGAGATGAGGCTGTCAGCAGACACCAGGAGAAGGCAATCAGTTGAAAGGCCCATTGATTAGTATTGCTCTGAGTCTTGAGGTTTAACCCTCCCTTTAGGGCTTAGTGGTATAACCTACATCTTGTATCAGGGAACAGATCAGTACGTGAGATACATGTGTACTTTCTTAACCTTGGGCACAGCGCATCCAAACAGTAGTCAAGTAACTCAGAGGGTTCAAGTAATTCACTGGTTCCAGTTATTGGTTATTTTATTTAAAACAGTTCCTCATATTTTATGTCTATTAAATATTAAATTCCATGAAGAAAAGAGCCAGTGAATTTGATCTGAAAATTGAACAGGTAAGATTCCCCTTTCTTAATTCATATCAGTGTGTGATTGAACTTGACTGCAGATTTCTATGTTATCTTTGAAATGATTCATTTATTTGGAAGAAAAGTTACAACAAAAATGTATTTGGTTGGTGACTGATCCTAGTGTTTGGCATATCCTAATAAAAAGAGGTGTTGCTTCACTACTTAGAAATGTTGTTCTTGACTAGGGTGTTTATTTTTGGAGTGTTTTCCTCAGATTCCCTGCCATCCTTCCTTTAATCGAGGAGTGTTATAATGTTTTCCCCATGTCATAGAATATACTGATCGTATGCACTGTTGATCGGAAAATATAGTAAAATAGTATTGAAAAGCATAAATGAAACAAAGGCTCTTTAGTGATTCTATAAAGGACTAAACCCATTAAAACTATTAAACATAATATCTTACTGAATTTTATCACAGAACATAATTTACCTATTTTATTCTAGTGAGTATAAGCTTTTCATGACATTGAAAAAGTTACAAGCTGTGGAACAAAATTTATGTCTATAGCTTGTGTTAAAATGTCAAAATAGGCAAGGGGATGTATGTGCACGGCAGCGAGAGGAGGCAGCGGACTCGGGCCCTGCTGCCTCGGAGGGGGGAGGGGCAAGGAACAGTGTTGCTTAGCGTTTTTTTCTCCCCACAAAATGGTGATATGTTTTCTGCTTTTAAAAGCAGTTTTTAATTGGTAGTTAATATCAGAATTGTTGAACATTTTCTCCAAACCTAGTGTTATATGAACTTTCTCTGGGCACACTGAGATCCACTCAGATAGGGCACCAGTAGTAGACCAGAGTAAGGATTCCACCCAAGCCTAGCTTGGTGAACTAGTGAGCTTCTGGGGCTTCTTTGCAGGGCCATGGGTAACCCCCAGACAGTTATATCACTGGAAAGTCAGCCCAGCAGGGATTTAGGCTTCCCTATAGCTGCATGGATGCCCCCTCCAGTCCAGTTTCCACAGTCTGGACCACTCTTGCACCTTCCTAGATTATATACATCTGGAACAAAATTCCGTATGGCTGGCAGGAAGGGCAGATGGGAGGCAATGGCTGGGCATTTGAAGCGAGGATCTAATGACCTGTCCACTTTTTCTTATGAGAGAATGCCAATCTTAAAAATAACAAAAATTAGTTGTATGTGTGTCTGTGTACATGTGTGTGCCCATGGAGGCCAGAGGTGACTACTGTGAGCTGCCTTACCTGGTGGGTGCTAGGAACCAAACCCAGGTCCATTGCAAGAGCAGAATTCCCTCCCAACCTACTGGTCTGTCTCTCTAGCCCCAACAGGCCCATTGTGTTGTGGTACATTCCAGCTGCTCTGATTAAAAGATGCTAATAACTTCTGCTGGGGAGGACTGTTGCACAACAGTTGCGACTAAATTACCTCAAATCAGTCAGTCTCTGGAGGGGTCTGGCCTGTAAGACCAGGAGGATTCTAGGTAGTGCCTGTCCCATGGTGTTTCCTACTCAGAGGACTGTCTGCAGTAAGGCAATGTGAAGAGCTTGAAAATACTCAATAAATGCTGTTACTCTTAAGTATTAGTTATGACATTATCAGGAACTTACATGAGTCTGTAAAGAAACCTTAAAACCTAAATGCATTTGCCGCTGACACTGGTGTTTCATATCTGAGTATTTAACTGCAGAGAAGCCTGCTGGACAGTTGGTTGGGCCTTGTATTTGGCTTTTACTATTTGTCCTGTTCCAGCCATGTTATCATTGATCATTTGATTTTTTTTCTCCACAAATTATAAATTACTGTGCATCAAATCCTTTAGGCTTGGTATGTGTATTAGGTAGGGTTCTCTAGAAAAATATAACTGATAGAATGAATATATTTATTGCACTATGTGTTTTGTGCATGTGTCTAGTTTTTGTGCTTCCTTAGATTCTCTTACTCATGGAGTCAAATCCTAAAATAAGGATTTTTTTCCCCCCTACTTTTAGCCTCTGGGATGAAATTTGGTATTACATGAATAGATAGCATTGGATTTGGACCTTTCTGTAGCTAACGTTTTAAAATATGCTTTTAATTAAATATTTTCAATACTATTTTAAATCATACCTGTATTCAAGTCTGGTTTGTGAAGCATGGAATTAATGGGTCTTACGGTTAGGGTGTTGGGCATCTGAGCCACTGCCAGCCTGTGTCCAGAGCAGCCATGTACTCTTGCACCAGCAGTGTAAGGGACCCAGGGTCCCTGTACCCTCCCCAACCCTTCTCTATTTTAGGGGAAAGGAGCTTGCCAGTGGTTGAGGTGGAGTCTCTTCTACTCAGCCCTGTGCCTAAAGATTGGATTATGGGTTCTGGCCATCTTAGTAGATGAGACACGGGATCATATTTGTAGTTTTGCTGCGCATTCCCCAGTGAGTCACGACGCTGAGCCTGCATTCATGTACTCACGGACACCTGTCTGTACACTGTCTTTGGGGATCTGCCTACTCACGTCATCATTACCCCGACTTTTGGACCTCTTTTTGTTGAGTCTGTGATGTTCTGGATGGAAGTCAACTGTCAGAACACTTAGAAGTGCTTCCTCCCATGCTGTGGGTTGCCATTTGCTGAGTAAAGTTTTGCATTTTAGTAAGGTCTCCTTTTTCTCTTTGGCTGATGGCGCTTTTGATGTAATTTTTATTCAAGAAACCGTTAAGCATCCAGAGTCATAAGGACTTACTTCTGTATTTCCTTTAGAGTTTTATGGGTTTAGCTTTGCACTTAGATCGTTGGTTCATTTTGAGCTGTTTTTGTGAGTGGTGTTAGTTAGGCATTTGTTTTCATTCAAAACAATGCCGCTGTCCCAGCAGCATTCATTCTTTTTCTTTGGATTATGTGGACACCTTTGTTGAAAGACTGGTTATAAATGTAAGGGTTCTGGAGTCCTAGGCCTGTTTTAGTGATTTTGGTTTGTTAAACATTTGTACTTTTTTGTTTTTTAAGTCTCCAAAAGTGGTTACTTTTCAAAATGAGTTTTTCTTTTTGTCTTTTAATAAATCAATAGGCAATTACAATTACCAAGTTATTTATTGTTTTAAAAAATGTATACACTATCCTAGGAAAAAGCTTTTGAATTGTATAAAAATTCAGGCACCACACAATAGCTCTTAAGTGAGTTTTGTATTGTTTATTTAACAGTGACTCAAAGATGGATAATTGCTAGGAGAAAAATGTTCGTTCCATTTACCTTAGCTTTATGCACATTGAGGAAATACTGCAAACAGAAACCCCGAAGTGACAATTAAGAGAAGTGTGTAGCTGCTCTGAGAGAGGCTGTGTCTGAACATTAGACATATGCTTGTTAAAACTACAAGAGAAACTTTTGGAAATATTAAATATTCTACATTTTCTGCTTCTTAAAAACACGTTTTCTACATAACTTCTCATTGCTGCTTGGTGTTGCGTTAGTGGCATGCAAAGAGGGCACTTCTCAGAAAGGCGATAGTGCCTTCTCGCCTCGCTGTTACACGTGCACGCTAATACACAAGGGGTTGTAGCCTGCTTGCATTGTGTGGAAATGCTTCTTTCTGCGCGCCGGGCCGTGCTGCTGTGGTGTGGAAATGCTTCTTTCTGTGCGCCGGGCCGTGCTGCTGTGGTGTGGAAATGCTTCTTTCTGCGCGCCGGGCCATGCTGCTGTGGTGTGGAAATGCTTCTTTCTGTGCGCCAGGCCGTGCTGCTGTTGTGTCGTCACTTGTGCGGCCACCATGTTGTAGATACCAAGCTGATGGTTTCTGTCATTTAGGATTCTTTGTCTGAAGTACAAGAGAAATACAAGAAAGCCATGGTGTCCAACGCACAGCTAGACAACGAGAAGAACAATCTGATCTACCAGGTGGACACCCTCAAGGACGTCATTGAAGAGCAGGAGGAACAGATGGCAGAGTTTTACAGAGAAAATGAAGAGAAATCAAAGGTAGCCACCCATCATGTATACCCTCTGTTGGGTCAGAAAATCAAAGCCTGCCACTTAAAGATTAGGTTGGTGGGGGACTGCAGTCAGAGCTGAGTGGTCTGACAGCCAGTCAGTGCCCTGTTAATTGTTAAAAAATGTTTCTTATGAAGAAAAAGTTCTATGCTTTTTTAGGTTTTTAAAAGCTGGATTACAACTCAAGTATTTATTCTTTTAACTGTGACAATCATGTTGAGTTGCTTCTTTGTTTCCATTGTAAATAGAAGGACACAGAACTCATAGACTCTCAGTGAGATGGGTAATTTTTTCTGTGAGCTTCGTACTTCAAGAGGCTCCACTTTGCAAATAACCAGTTAATTAGAAGCATCAGTTCAAAGACCTGAGTCAGAAATTGACAGTTGTTTTAAGTTACATACAATTGGAGAATAAAAGTCACCACCGTTCAAGTGCCATATTTGCCCCAGGCAGCTACAACAAAGAAATTGGGTTGTATTAAAAATGTATTAGACCTTGACATTTTAAAGTTTTGGTGTCTTAGTAGAGAATAAATGGATATTGTTGCTAGAAATTAGTTACTGCAATGTTGCCAATATAGAAAAAAAAAAAAAACAGTTTAGGAAATATGTGTTGATGAATTGTTGGAAGCAGCATCTGAATGGTACATAATAAAGGGAGCAACAACGTGTGTGGTATTTGCTAAACTTCATGGTTATGATTAATACTTACTTTAATAAGGAACTAGCTATCTGACACTCATAAACATGTTATTAAGGGGGATGGAGTGATAACTCGGAGGCTGAGCACCCTTGTATTCTTCAGGGGCACTCAGGGATAGCTACCAGCACCCACATCAGGTGGCTCATACCTGCTTGTAACTCTAGCTTCAGGGTATCTGGCACACACTTCTGGCCTCTGCAGGCACTGGCATATAAGTTTGTGATTCAGTGGAGTTTACTGCATTCACATGAACTTGCATTGGTCACACTCACAGAGTGTTTTCATTCTCTCAGACCACAAGTACGTACTGTTCTTCTCTGTGTCTCTATAGACTTCCCCACTCTACACTTAGATATCAACAGTGTCGTAAAAGAAACTCATGATTATCATCTTACATCTAGTGTACTAATTGTGAATCATCCATATTGTAGCATACATATAAATAAGTGCTTATTTCTTTTTAATGTTAATATTCTATCGTTAGGGTAGTTCTCTCTTTCTCTCTCTTTGTGTGTGTGTACGTCCAGCAGCATTATTTTGATATTTAGGTTGTTTTCCCCTTTGTGTAAATACTCAGGAGTGGGATTGCCAGGTCCACTGGCAACTGCATGAATCACGTGAGGAGTAGCGGACTTTCCAAGGCAGTGCCAGCATTTTGGCCCATTTCACTGACCGTTATTTGCCCATGTTCTTTGCCCTCTCCATTATTTACCAGGGTTTGGCCTTTTGGGTCTAGCTGTTTAGTGGATGTAGCTTTGACTTGTATTTGTCTTATAAAGCTACTGGTTTCAAGTATTTTTTTCATGGGTGTATGATTTATCTTTTGAAATCGCTCATATTTCAATTTTTTCTTATAACTGTTATAAGACTGTATTTTAGATACAGGTCACTTACCAGAAACATGATTTACAGCAGCCTCTGACATTTGTATGTTACTTTTTAACCTCCTTTTGCTTTATTTATTTGCTTATGGCCATCCCTTTTAAAAAGTCATGTCCGTTAGAGAGGATCTTCATTTTTTATTACCTAGACGAGACAATTTGCATAGTTTTGAAAGTCCTTTGCTTTTATAGTTTCAAAATAAGGAGTTGTCACTCTCACCTGGACCAGCCGCCCTTACTAAAAGTGTCTGTGGAGTTGAGTACAGTGTTGTGCATTGCGGCCTTTGTTCTTTGGATGCTCAGCTTTGCCTACTTCGGGCTGTGGTGAGCCCCATTTGGGCTTATTCTCAAGTACTTTATAAGTCTCACTTAGCCTCCATGCTTCCTGACAGAAGAGCGTGCTCCAGCCTTGTCTTAGGGTCCATCCTTTGTCCAAGGACAGCCCTCCACCTCATCCATAGGCCTGAGCCTGCTCTTGCTGCTCAGTCAGTCACTTCATAGGCCCCTTCAGTTGAAATATGTATGTGGGGCTTGTTTGTTTATTTGTATGACAAAATACATTATGCTGTGTTGGCTCAAGTTTATGTTGATGACTCAGGGGATTGTACTCAGTCCCTTCTGTACTCCATCTCCCCTGTCCCACACTGCAACTCCTGATTCTTACTGCTGTGTTCCACATCACTCAGAAAAGCATAACCATTCTAACACTGGTGTGGTTACTGGAAGTATACTTACTATTTGCTTTGGCCTTTACATTGGGACAGTGGGCTGTGAATTACAAGAATACTGTGTTTTAAAAGTTACTTGAAATAGTTTTAAATTTTTTTTGGTTTTATTTTTTATTTTGGTAATAAACACACCACAATAAATTTACCATTTTAAAGGGTGTAGTTCAGAAGGATGTTATATATTTTTATACTGTTGTGTGTGAAATCTGTACATTTTATCTTGCAAAAGTAAACCATAAACAAGTTAAATAAATAGGACTATTTGACCCTTTCCTTAGCCCTTGTCAGCCACCATCCATATAAGTCAGTACATGTACCCGACTTACAATACTCAGCACGGAATCACCAGGCTCATGATAAAAGCTCCTTCTTTCAAAAGGCTAACTGCCGTTCCCCTGTCAGTGCCACATTTTACCCTTCATTTTTTATCTGACAGGACTTGGGTTGTTTCCACCAGGAGCTGTACTTTAAACTGAACTCTGACTTATGTAAAAACAGTAGATCTGAATTAAACAAAGGAAACAAATTCAAAGTTTATTTGTCTTTTCATCCTCATTTTCCTCTTTGGGAGAATTCTTTTTATTTTATTTCTAAGTTTTAAGAATTCATTATTTTGTTTTGTGCATGTCTGCGCTACATGCATGCCTGGTGCTGTGTAGGTCAGAAGAAGGAATGGGATCCTCTGGAACTAGAGTTAGAGATGGCTGTGAGCCAGCATGTGACTGCTGGGAACCAAACTCGGGTCCTCTGTAAGAGCAACAAGTGCTCTTACCCGCTGAGTCACCTCTCCTGCCCTGAGGAATTCTTAAGTTCAGTGATTTGTCTTTCCTTTCTATAAGCTAAGAAGATATGTTAGCCAGCTTTGATTAACAAGAGACACATGAGATTTGAAATATATGGAAGCGCATGCATTTGTGGTCCTCCTTTCTTAGCAAACACCAGCAGTCTGTAAATGCTGCTCTGCTTGTAGCACACAAACCTTCACTTCTTGCCCCGCTGTGGTTACTCCATTGTATGGATACTCTACCCCACTAACTCCCAAATCATGGACATCTGAGTTGTGTGCAGCGTTTGCTGTTCAGAAGTCATCCTGCAAAACAGTGATGTGCTTGGGTCATTCTGTGGTTTTACCAGTGTATCTGTGATAGAGAGCCATGGCTGTGGGTACCATGGAGCCTTTCTATGTAAGCCATGTGTGGTGACACATAGAGCTACTGTGTGTTTCCCTTCCTGTGAGCGTGTTGTATATCGGAGCTTTCCCTTCTGGTTTCCTGGGCTTTATTTAGCCTGGTTCTCATTTTGCCAGTGGGTTTTTTGTTGTTGTTAATCTATCTTTATTTTAGGAGTTTTCCAAATGGAAAAAAAACAGTAGTAAATCTTTTGTTTCTGGATGTAAATGATAATTTCTTGTGTAGCCTGTTATTCATATCTTTGTGGGTAGCTTTTGATAGTCTAAAAAATAGTTTCTTGCCCCACTTTTCCTTTATTGTTTTTTGGGTATTGGAATCATTTAAAATAAAGTTTCCTCTACTCTACAGTTACTAATTTTTAAAAAGTACCTTTTGCTGTCCCTTTTGATGCTTTTCTTGCCTTCATTATACAAGGTGAAGATTTAAAATCTGACCCTTTCACCAAATGCAATCTAGGCATCAGCCATGTAGGCATGATTCTGGAAGTCATACTGGACCTCCATGTTAAGTTACATGTGTTCAGCTTTGGATCTATTCCATGCCCTCTGTAACAATAGCATTTGCTTAATCACAGGAGTTGGAAAGGCAGAAGCATATGTGCAGTGTGCTGCAGCACAAGATGGATGAACTCAAAGAAGGCCTTCGGCAGAGAGACGAGCTCATTGAGGTAGGTACTTGAATTATGGAAATACTTGATTTTGAAAAATGAGTTGTTTAGGATGGTGGTGTGTTTGTTGGGAGAATATTAAAATCCTATAAACAGAGTTCTCAACTTCCCTTTAACAGTTCCTCATGTTGTGGTGACCCCCAACCATAAAATTATTTTCATTGTTACTTCATAACTGTAATTTTGCTACTGTCATAAATAGTAATGTAAGTCCCTGTGTTTTCTGATGGTCTTAGATGACCCCTATGAAAGGGTTGTTTGGCTCCTAAAGGGGTCATGGCCCACAGGTTGAGAACTACTGCTGTAAATTTTACTTGTGTTAACATTTGGTGCTCAGAAATTTTCTACCATGAAATATAAAGGCAGGCTTAAAAAGTGAACGCTCACAAACTCTGTAAAATTCTCCATTGAATAGTAGGATTTCTGGCTGGTGTCTTTTACTCCTAAACCCTTTCCCTGAAGGTATCAGAGGCAGTTGGAAAAAGAAGAATTGTGGAGTAACATTTGCATCCTAGGGCATGCCATGCTAGGACATGATTCTTGAGGAGTAAGAATTTTGATCTTCACTCAAGTTGATACATTTGAGGCAGCTGAAAAAGAGAGGAAGATCTCCAGATCTTGACCTTCAACTACACGGCGCTAGCTCTCTGCTGTGAAGGAGCTCTGTGCCACACTAAGGCAGTGTCAGAGGGCAGAGGGGGACGACCCACTGCAGTGCTGAAAGCACCTGAGCACTGTTCCTGCTGTGGTCAGCTTCAGTGTTTACAAATTCCACAGGAGAGGATAGCAGGCTGAACTTTCATAGCTTGTTACCATGTGTTCTGGAAAAACAGGCCCAGGGTGCTGGATGTAAGCTTTGAAAGCCTTAGTCTTTTTATGTTTACAGTTACCATCTTTTGGATGTCAGTATCTGTTGATCATGCACAACTGACAACTGACATGCCCACAGACCGACCTGATAATTATTCATCTGAGTCGTTTCCCCAGGAGGTCCCAGGCTGGGTTAGTGCTGACATAGGACAGCGTCATCACACACAATGCCATTAGAGTTCTAGAATTAAGATTTGAGGGGGTTTGAGTCGGGACGTGTTGCTAGTAATTTATCAGTGACACACAGGGAAAACACGGTAAGAAGTCTGATAGGTACTTGCTCTGCTTGCCTTTCTGTTACTCTGATAACACCTGTGGCCAAAAACAACTTAGGGGAGCAAAGGGTTTATTCATCTTATATTTCTAGGTCTCCATCCATCATTTTGGGATGACAGGGTAGGAACCTGAACTCGGGACTCTTTGCTATTCCAGACAGCATGATCTCTAACCATGGAACTAGGAAGTACACCAGAAACCATGGAGGGTGCTGTATGCTACCTGGCCAGCTCACTGGCTGGCTAAAGCCTATACTCCTTAGATAGCCCAGGACTGTCTGCCCAGCCAGTAGGTTGTGCTCTCTTGCATTAATTAGCAATCACGAGAACCTCTGGAAGACACACATACAGAACAACCTGAAAAAAGACAACTAGTTAGTCACCAGAGTCATTTCCCCAGGGAATTCTAGGCTAAGCTAGTACCAACTAGGCAGCCTCACCCACCAGCACTTGTTTGAGAACTGCTAAGTATTAAAATTCCATCTTTCTAAAAACGGTGTTTCTTTTCTACTTCATGATGTTCTTGATATTTCACTTTTTGCCAACAGAGCATCAAAGTGATCAAGCTGAGATATATCTCTCCTTTTTTTAGTTCTGCTTTACCAAATAACATTCAAAACTACCGTTTGCTCTCTGTGGGTAAAGCATTACTTGTTTGTAAGCAAACACGAGTTTTCTCTGCAGATATAAGTGATTCCATGTTTGGGTAGAAGAGCAAGTATCACTAGAGTGTGTGTCTGGGAATGCGGTGGGGCCGGCCGCCACCGAGCTGTGGTTGGAACAGTTAGTTATCCTGATGCTCTTTTTGGCCTCTGCCCCACTGTCTTTTCTGGTGCTGGGGATCAGACCCAGGGCTTGTGCACGTGGAGCACACACTTAGCTGCATCTTGCTGTCCTCTCTGGCTCGCTGTTGGGGTCAGGCCAGGGACACTGGATGTGAGCTTTCCCCTTTCTGTTGATCATACACTCCCCTTCCTCCCTTTTAAAATTCACCCACCTCCTTTTTGTTCTGTTTTCCTTCTAACTCCCTTGCTTTTTTTTTTTTTTTTTTCTTTCTGCTTTTATTATTTCCCTCCCCCTCTTCTTCTTCAGGAGAATCAGCGCCTCCAGCAGAAAATAGACACCATGACAAAAGAGGTGTTTGACCTCCAAGAGACCCTGCTCTGGAAAGATAAAACAATTGGGGTATGAGAGGAGGTGGGGCTTTGGAGAAGCTCATGCCTGAGCGATAGACCAAGAGAATGTAATCAGAGGTTGCCAGAAAGCCCTCCTTTTATTTTTATGTATTTAGACAGCATGAATAAACAGAAGACAGAGACTTCTCTAGGAAACCATGGTAGTGTGCCTAGAGAGGGTTCTTTCCACACTCTGTGCTTGTGAACTCACACATAGAAACCTTTAAAAGAAGAGTGCTTCATTCCCCACAAAATAAGGATTCTTCCTCCGAAGCAACCACAGGCATCTAATTCAAATTCTGTGGGTAGCTGGGAATGCTTACATTATAAAAGCATGGGTTGAAAAAGCAGATGGGGAAAATGTTATCTCATAAATTGTTGGTGAATGAAAGAGGAAGCGATCAGTTTAATTATGGAAATGGGTAGGAATGTAAGATTGCAGAGCTGCAAAACTGACATCATCTCTCATTATAGCCCAGCACTCCCCAGGGGTCCTGGTAAAGAAAACTTCCTCACTGCGTGTTTTTTTTTTTTTTTTTTTTTTTAGCTCTGTGGGTACTCTCCAAGCATGCTGGATGGTAGCAAAAGTAGTCACTTTTCTAGTTTCATGGGGTGGAGAGTTCAAGAGCAGAAGATACTTTTAGATAATTTTCCGAATTAAGTTACCAAGTTTGCCAAATTCCATCAAAACCCAAAAAAATCTTCCGAGGAGACATTGTAACTGTGAATTACAGTTTACACATGTTTTTCCTCGGGAAAGGGGAATGATATGGGGAATGGGTGCACAGAGCAGGCATTTATACAGGAAAAGTTCAAAATGTACACAGTGTCTGGGCTGGCCATATCATGGGTCAGCAGGCCCCAGGGCTTCTCATTTTCATGGCTTTCTTAGGATTTTAAAAATCAGATTACCTTGGACTTCCTGACTAGCTAGAGTAAAACTACACACCCCACAAAATAGCTTACTAAAACACACATGCCTTTGATCCCTTTGATCTCAGTACTCAGGGAAAGAGGCAGGCAGGTAGATCTCATGAGTTTAAGGCCGGCCTGGTCTATGTACAAGTTTTAGGCTGGCAAAGGCTACACAGTATGACCTATCTCAAAAAGAAAAAAAGAAAAGAAAGATATAATGTATTTAAGTTTTAAAATTAAGTTTAAAAAGTAAACTTTTATCGGCTGCCGGGATAGCTCAGTGGTTAAAGTGCGTTGATCTCCAGAACCCACCTAGAGGTGGGGGGAGTGAGGAGACTCCAGAGAGTGCTGTGTGCCATAAAAAAATTTATTTTGAGGAAAGTTAGGGTTTATGTACAAGTGTAAGAAGTGCTACCAAGATATCCCTGCACACCCTTCGCTCCACAGTGTCACATCTTGCAAAGCTGTGTTCAGCATTACTGTCTGTGGTGAAGCTACAGCCACTTCCATTTCTTCTTTTTATAAATACTCCTCCTACCCCTGCCTGCCAGTCCTAAGAGCCACTCTGTAATTTAGCCATTTTAAGAATGTTGTATAAATAGAAACCTATAGTGTATAACACTTTTGAACTTAGATTTTTTTCCATTCAGCATAACTTAAAAAGTTTATCAGCTGAAACAGTAGCTTATTCCTCCCTTAGCTTTCCTATAAATTGTATACATTACAAATAATGGATTTGCCATCTGAACTACTGTACCGTCAAGTGGAGTTAAATTCAGCCACATTCATGTGCACGTTCCCATCCTCTCCAGCTAACAGTCTACCCACCAAGCAGTGCCCCGGCCACTGTTCCCCCCTCTCCGAGGTGACCACTCGAGGTTCCGCCCTGAGGTGGACGCATATGGCACCTGCCCATGTATGGCTCCTTTATTTCAGTAGCGTAGGATCCTAAAGCTTCGTCAGCATTGGAGTATGTGCAAGAATGAATGAACGAATCTCACTCTCTCGTGTGGGGTCTTACTCTGTGGTTCAGGCTGACTTTCCCATTTCTGTCTTAGTGTTACGGTTCCAGGTATTCTTCAACCACAGCAAATATTCTCACTGTTTGAAACTTATTGGCATTACCCTGGACACGTGTATTATATTTATCTGCTAATGATACCTGGACAGCAACTCCATCTCTCACTGCTGTGGACTTGTCTATTTGGTGCTGTGCTTTCATCTCTCACTGCTGTGCCAATGTCTATTTGGTGCTCTGCTTTCAGTTATTTTTGGTATATACCCAAAAGTGGAATTGCTAAATCACTTAGTAACTTTATTTAGTTTTTTTGAGGGCCAGCCATTCTGTATTTGATAGCAATTCTGCCCTTATACATTCCCCTGAGCAATGAGCAAAGGATGGAATTTCTCCATCTCTTCACCAACACTTGTTATTTTTCTATCTGGAGTTGTCATGTCTCTCTCTCTCTCCTTTTTTTTTTTTTTTTTTCTCATTTTTGCAGTACTAGGAATGAAACCCAGGAGCTCACACCTGATATACTACTGAGCTATATCTCTAGACATGACTCTTTTTCTTTTTCTTTCTGAGATAGACTCTGTGTAGACCAGGCTGAATCCACCATACCCAAGCTTCCTTTTTACTTCTGAAGGGCTTCAGTACCCAATGCATCACTCATCGCTGATTCAAGAATAAAATCTAGGAACATATTAAAAAAACAGGTCCCAGGTTAAAACTGAGTTTTCTTTCACTTTCCTTGGTGACTGCTGGCTTCTTGCAGCTCTCCACAGGTACTCATGCAGAATAGAGTAGTGAATATAAAAAGGCCTCTGAGCTCATGGCCAACCCAGCCACAGTTAATTCTCAACTGTAGTTATCTAAGCCTGTTCCACATCTCTGTTTAACTTTTTGTTGCTAAGATTAGATGTTAGGTCTTTGACAGAATTATTTAGATCTCTGCAAAGCTGAACCTTTTACTCTGATTTGCTGGCAGAGGAAATTGCTGCCTGCAGGCACAGGGTGATGGTTACACGGTCAGCAACATAGAAGATTTCAGATCTAGGACAAATACATTTGACTCAATTATAAGGTAGTTCAGTAGTTTTCAAGTTTTGTGGTGAAATGAACAAATATACAGGATCTATTTTATTTTCCTATCTGTAATTATGGGAAGAAGAAAAATTTAAATCTAAAAAGTAAAACAAAACCCAGTACTGTAATTGTGGAAGGAGGCACAAAAGCCATGCACTAGTGTTTGCTGGAATTCTTAACTTGAGAGCGGTCTGTTCCTGAGAGGTCTTTCATATCAGTGAGGTATTGACACAGCATATTGTGAAAGTGACCATCTCCTCAGCTACATGTTGTGATTGTAGCACAAATGCATGCCATGCTTTTCTAACACGTAACCTGTGGTGTGGGTGACTGCTGTGCCCATAACACATCTAACCCACATGGTTCAGGGACAGCCTTGGACAGGATGTGTTCCTGTGCTTGTTGTCAAGTTGTCAACACTAGTAGAAAACATCTAAGGCTTCAGAATCTAGACTCTTGAGTCACCTGACAGGTAACTGGAGATATACCAGATTTGTGAATTTCCGCCGTTCATGGAGAGAAGCCAGGTGTTGACTCTGTTGTGTAAAAGCAAGGATGGGGCTTCCCGCTTCCCCAGCACTGTGGGGGTGATGAACAGGGTGCAGCCTCTGGAGGCTGTGCGATAAAACTGTGTGGCAGGGCTTTAGACCTAAAAGAGACTGCGCTCATCTTCTCCCCTTGGTGCATTAGCTGTGGACAGGGAGCTAAGCAGTGTGTTACAGAGGGAAGGGCGGTGCTTCACAACCAGGTCAGTGTCTGCTGTGACAGTCAGTGCTGCACGGTTGTGCTGCTGCTGCCGTTTGGTCAGAGTGAGGCATGTTGCCACATGTCTTTTGTTCCACTGTAGGTGGACACTGGAGGACCAGAAGTTCAAGGTCAACCTTGACAATATAGCAAATTCAAGGCCAGCCTAAGCAATAGGAGAGCCTCTGTTCAGCAACAAGGACAACCGGGGACACTTTCTAGCCATAAGTAACCAAGCAGTTGAGCACTTTTTGACTTGGTTATGAGAGAAAACATTAAATACAGGAGAAATATGTAGTAGAAGGGTTCTTGTGAAAGCAGTGTGCTGTCAGGTTACTGTGCTCTCTGCTCTTGTCTTAGTACCTAGGTGAGGTTTCAGATTTGCCCACCGGCCTTTCCAAACCCTCTGTGTAAGTCCCCAGTGCAAGCAGTGCTCCAAGACTAGCGCCTCCTGGGTGGGTGCTGCCCTTAGGCCTCTGTTTATCAAATGTGTTGGATATGGTTGTGTCAGGTTCCCATAGCTAGATTTGAAACCCCTAACCTCTTACCCAGCTGGGCTAGTGTTCATTTGTGTCGTGTTTTTGCTTTTCTCATTTTATCAGAGTTTCAGAAAACCAAATGAACCATTCTTGTTTATAACTAAATTAACAGCAGGTTGTGGAGACTGCCTTTGGATGTGTTCCTGGGTCAAGTGGTTTCTGAATACTTTGTTCTAACACTTGGAGGACAAGCAGACAGTTGGTATTTAAAATAACATCCAGACTTGCGTTTCTTCCCAAACCAATTTTATTTTTAAAAATCAGGCATACTCTTAACTACTTTCATTCAACATGAAACGAAATGTGTTGATTTGTTGCTGTTCAGCAAATGGAAATGTACTGAGGAAGTCAGGCAGGAAGTTTATGTGTGTAAAGATGATCTTCATGTGACGAGCATGTCTTGCCAGTTCATGCATGAGCACTCTTCTCTGTTTAAACTCTCCTCCAGCTGTGCAAACAGGCTGCCCCCTTCCTGCCTGGCCACTGCTTCCAACCTTCTGCTTGTAGGCCTTACCTGCTTATTGGATTAGTCACCTTTCTCTTGCTCTTTTTCTATGCTGTTCTTGCCCTTGCTACCCTGCCTAAAACCAGGCCCTAGAGAGACAGAAAGAACACATTTCCTGCCTCAGGCATGAGCGAGATGTGCTCAGAGAGGAGCTGGCTGCCCTGCAGGAGACAGTGAAGACAGCAGAGGTATGTCCGCCTGGGCCTTCATCCCCTCCTCTTGCCTTAAGTCTTCCTGACCATAAACGACAGTCTTGATATGATGGTGGAATGAGCTATTTCCTCCACAGAGGTATATCACATAACTAATTCTAACTAGTTTTTACCCATGCAAACAAACATTGTTGCAGAGATGCCTCAACAGAACTTACAGTTTCTATGTGGGTTATTGTTTGTAATGCTAAGTTTTTTTCTTCTCCACAGAAACATGGCTTAGTTATAATCCCAGACAGCACTCCCAATGGTGATGTCAATCATGAACCTGTGGTTGGAGCCATTACTGCTGTGTCTCAGGAAGCTGCTCAGGTCTTGGAGTCAGCAGGAGAAGGGCCACTAGGTGAGACACTACTTGTTATTTAGTCTTGGTTGCTGTCCGGCTTCTAGCCTGGTGTAGGGGTGGGCTCAGTAGACAGGCTATGTAGCCAAGAAGGAATTTGGACCCATTGTCCTCAGGTACTCTTATCTTGGGAAACCCGCAGTAGAGTCATCCATTGTGTGCAGGAGGAAGCATTGCAGCTTTATACACATCGCTTTTCACCTAAAACTACCTTAGTTTTGTGTGTGGAGTTTTCTTAAGAGAACGTGAGGCACTATAAGAACAGCACAGGTTGAAATATTTTAAATAGTAGGCATACTGTCTCATATAGAATTCTAGAAATATAATTAATTGTTGAGCACTTTGATACAGGATGCGGGTGAGCAGTGAGCAAGAAGATGAGGGTGAGCAAGAGGAGGATGCGGGTGAGCTAGAGGGGAGATCCTGCAGGCATGCTCACCTTTGACAGTTGACATGATGTCATTTACAAAGCCCACCCTTAGAAACCATGCAGTCAAGTTACAAAAATAAAAACAAAACAAAAATCTTTTAAGTAAGTTTACTCTCTTGTGGTTCCCATTCATAGCTGTTCATAGCCTGATAGTGTAGGGAACTGAAGCTTACAGTGGGCAGCTCTGGGGTTCCTCCACCTTTTCAGGGGCTAAAGGGACTGGAACTGACATGGCCGACCTTATTTAGTATGGGCTCATACTAAATTGCCGGCTGTGAGCTGCTTTGTTAGCTGAACTAGCCTTGTCACCTCAGCCCATGGGAACCTGTTTCCACCTAGAGAGAAGCTGCCTTGTGCATCTGCCCAGGCTGAATGAGCAGTAAGTTAGCCACTGGCTTAAGCAGAGGCTGAAGCCAGGTATTCAGATCCACCGTGCTCTCTGTTTGACCATGAGGCTTGGAGCACCTCACTCACCCCTCACACTTTAGCCATCTCAGCCCCACCTTGGCTATCGCAGGCACACTGCTAGGCCTCACCCTCCTGGGTCCCACTCTTGCTCCATATTCCCTCCATGGGTGGGAGCTTCTGAAGACAGCTAGGAAGAACTTGTACATTTTTGCAACAACAATAGCAAAATGGTTTCCTCTGGACTGCAGTTTGTCTCTAGGCAGAAAGTCACTGCTCTGGGAGCAGGTATTTTATTTGATGTCATAACTGTCACTAGCTGGGAATATGTCTGGGAGAATAAAGTATTCTTTCTATTGCAATTCAAGCCTTTGACATCTTTTCATGTTCATGGTGTAAGTAATGCAGTTATTTAGATGTTGGCTATTTGTGAGCACCTTACAAGTTCAGTTTACAACTCTCCCACTTGTTCCAGATGTGAGGCTACGGAAACTTGCTGGAGAAAAGGAAGAGCTCCTGTCACAGGTGAGACATCTGCTCATCTGAAACTATTAGTTTATCTAAGATAGGCAATAAAACACCAATAAATTAAAATGCTCGTTAGAAATAGCTGAGCAAAGTGGTGCGCATCTTTAGTCCTAGCCCTCAGGAGGTAGAGACAAGCTCTCTGTGAGCTTGAGGCTAGCCTGGTCTACATAGTGAGACCTTATCTCGAAAACAATGAAAAAAATTAGAAATGTTTTTCTATCATTAGTATTCAAGTGACATTTAAAGGAAGAAAATCTAATTCAGATTTTGTCTGAAAAATAGTGTATAGGATGCACACAAAGCTTGCTGTCGGCCCTTCCACACTCAGCTTGCCCTTCCACACTCAGCTGACCATCTCCGTCCTCCTTAGTACGAGGCTGACCTTTAGTGCAAGGCACTGACTGGATGATGCTGTTCCCTAAAGGCACCATCTGTTGACATTCCTCTGTGGAAGACAGGCCTCTGCCACACATGTGCACATTTCCTGTTCCTGTAGCCAGCCTGTTTTCATCCACAGGACTCTGAATGTTGGTTCCACAGAGAGCCAGCCTATATTCAAGCTGGCTTTTCTTTTTGTTCCCTGTGCCTGGTTTTCTTGTGTTTATCACAAAGTTAGCCACTGTTTGGGGCAGTAGTTTAACCCTATTCAAGGTTTTCTGATACACACCAGGTTTCTCTGGGTTCCATCTTCAGTCTCTGACTCAACCCATTCTGGACTAGTGGCTTTTTCACTCTGTGTTGGTGTGACCACCCTTCAGGCCTGGGGACTTTCTCTGCCTGAGGAGGTTTGGGTTGGGTTCCATTTTCTCAGTCTTTCTGCCTTCCTCTTTCATTCTCTTATTTTGGTATGTATTTTAGTAGCTTCCCTAGGAAAGACCATGTGTGCTGTTAATTTCCCATGACCTTGAAGATGTCATGTTCCTTGAGGTTAATAAAAGCCTATTTCTTCATTTCCTGTCTTTGAAGGTTGTTGCTCAGAAATGAGAAGGCCTAGGCTTGTGAGATGATGGTTCAGGCACATGTTGTGTAAGTCAGACAGACACCTGAGTTCAGTCCCTAAACTTACATAAGGTAGAAAGGGAGAACTCCATAGATGTGTGTGTGTGTGTATGCGCGCACGTGTGTGCGTGTATGAACACACAATAAATAATAGAACAATTCTGAGGATATTTTGAGATTTGATCTCTCATGGGTGATGTTTTCCTTTCTCCTTCTGTCTTATTCTCTTTCTCTCTAGTATCTTGAAACCTCACAGTGATATGTTCAGAAGTTTTTAAGCATGGTAGTAGCCCTTGTTGATTCTAAACTTCTAATTCTTGAGTTTGGAAAAACTTGAGTGATTTTACTTACTCTTTTCCTGGCTCTTTTTCAGTCAGTTAGCAAATGGTGAGTGTTACTCCATTGTTTAAAACATTGTTCATGACATGTAGGAAATTTAGATGAACAATTAGATTGTGGATTTATTTGGAAAGTCCATCCCCTGGTAGGCTAGAAAGAGGCCGAGCAGTTCAGTTGCAAAAAGCTGTTATTATATGTGAAAAGTTTCGGTAAGTACTTTATTATGTTTCTCTAGCTGCATTCAGCTGTATGATATAGGCACATAATCATGAGAGAGTTAGACTTGACCAGGGCAAGACTTCGTGATGATCACACTGGCCTGAGAAGTTAAGCTGGATGGCCAGTGTTGGGAGACCCTCTGAGCAGAGATCAGGTGTAGTGAAGTGAATGTGGCTGAGGGATGTTAGGGTCCAGGGAGAGTGAACTGGGAAATGAGCATTCATGGTTAGAGTGTGTGGGACTAAGTAATCTAGGGATGAAGTCTGTTATATGGCCAAGGGCAAGAAGAGGTAAATGACAGACCCTTGAACGGGAGGTGGTCCGGAAACTGAAGTGCATTATGGGAGCATGCCACTACTCTAGGTGTATATTGAAATGACTAAGACTTAAGATAAGGGGTAGTTTTGGGAGTGCAAATCTGGAGCTAACATGACAGAGGCACAGTACACCAGTAAAGATGTGAGGTAGTTAGATACTAATTTGAACAGATGAGATTAAGAACAGAGACTTCCAAAAGTGTGAGAATAGGAGAGTTCAGCAACATGAAGAAAGCCCGAGAACACTATTCCATGTCTAGGTTAAGGTAGGAAGCTGGAAGGCATAAGCAGCAGCGCTTAGTGAGACTAGAGGAGTGGCAGGGCTCTGTGAGAGTACTGAGGTGAAAGGCACACTCTGAGATGAGACTGCAGCAGGAGCATCAGTTGGTGGCAGGCTGCTTCTTGGGGGCTGAGGTTAAGCATGGTACAGGCCCTGTGCGTGAGAGTCCTGAAGAGGGATTCCTCCTTTTGAGTGTGATGGGAATGATGGGATAATTCTCTTAAGGCAGCCTCATGTGTATAGAGGGCAGGGTGCCTGAGACTCGTGCATTCATTGAGTGTGAAATTAGCACTTGCCCTTCCCGTTGGGTCGTGGCAAAGGGCTGAGTTGAGGCCATGGGAAAGCCAGCCATTTGTGCTTCCAATTAATTTTGTGCATTTAAAGTTCTCTTAAGTATTCAGCTTATTGCTAAAAAGCTTTTAAACAGAAAGTCCTAACTACCCATGAAAATGTTTGTTTTAGTAAGACAAAAAATACTCAAAAGATGTACTGTTGTGCAAACACACACAAGTAACAAAAGCTATATTGGGACATCTGGTTTGTGAGGCCCATCCCTTTCTGCTTACACTAGTTTATATCAAATGCCTAGAGCCATTTGTCTCACAGGAAAACAGTGCTTGGTTTGTATGACTTGCTAATACAAGGGTCTGTTTTGTATATGATACTGCCTCTGGGCTTCATTTGAGAGAACTGCATTTAGGAGCTGGTCTCACAGCACTTGCTGGGCTAGCATGTGGCCCAAATTTGAATTCCCAATAGTTGGCACCACAGCATGTGTCCGTAGTTCCGTCACTGGGTTGGTGGACACAGGAGGGTCACTGGAGCTGCTGGCTCGCCAAATTGATTAGCTTCAGGTTTGGTGAGATTCATATCTCATAATAAATGAAGACCAACTGAGGAAGGCATCTGATACAGACCTGTGGCCTCTGTGTATGCACACACTTGCATGCCCACATGCAAGCTCAAGACACTTACTTTCCATCCAGGCCTGGTGACACAGGTCCATAATCCCTTCTTCTTGGGAGGCTGAGGAAGGAGAATCCCAAGTTCAGGTTCTTCCTGGGCTGTGGAGTGAGTGCAAGGCCAGCCTGGGCAACCTAGTGAGAACTTAAAGTAGGAAAGAAGTCTACGGCTATAGCTCCATGTTGGTGCTTGCTCAGCACGCCTGAGAGAAAGAAGCTAACACAGACACACAGCTCACTGGTGACCTTTACTTCCATTTCAGATTAGAAAACTGAAGCTGCAGTTAGAGGAAGAACGGCAGAAGTGTTCCAGGAATGACGACACATCTGGGGACCTGGCCGGACTGCAAAATGGCTCAGACTTGCAGTTCATCGAGATGCAGAGTAGGTACCGGGGGACAGGCCGGTCTGCACTAGTACGTAGCATGTATTCCAGGAATAGAGTTGGGTTATGTGGGCTGCTGAAGTCTAGGAAAGTGGTTCTGCTCACTTGTGAGTCCCAAGGATGCCACAGGCCAGTCACTGTCTGAATAATTCTCTGAGCTCCTGTGTGGGACCCTCTTCCATCTAAGCTTTTTCTTTAGAATTTATTTTGGAAGATTGAAGATTTAAGATCAGCTCATATTAATATTGCTTCTGAAATGTCTTAGTTTTTAACAAAAAATTCATCTTTACATCAAGTTAAAAACAAGGCCACAAAATAGTTTACCCAAATTATGTTTCTTTTCCCTTTCTACCTTTGACCCCGTATCATTGGTTTATTTGAGATAGGGTTTCTCTACATAGACCTGGCTGGCCTAGAATTCAGAAATCTGTCTCCCTTTGCCTCTCAAGTGCTGGTGTGTGTGCCACCATGTTTGATGATGGTGGTGGTGGTTTTTTTTAAAAAGACCTACCTATTTTTATGTACATTGGTGTTCTGCCTGTATGTATGTCTGTGAGAGGGTGCCAGATCTTTTGGAACTGGAGTTACAGATAGCTGTGAGCTGCCATGTAGATCCTGGGAAGTGAACCAGAGTCCTCTAGAAGAGTAACCAGTGCTCTTAACCACTGAGCCATCTGCCCACTGTTTTTAAGTGTCTATTGTATTCACACTAAATCCCACAGCAGAGTTGTCCCAGCATCCATTCTTATAGTTAGCCTGTTGGTAGTGATATATAACTTAACAATAGGGACTTTTATTTTTCTCATTTGTAGTGGCTTTCCTGATAATGGACTTTTAAAATCCTGGCTGTTTGTGACCTGTTTGGACTTAGGTTGAATGGAGGAATTCTGGGGTTTGAAGCTCGTTAGTAGTAATTTCTGTGGTTAGTATTACTTCCTCTTTTGGACCTCAGGGCCCTCAGATTGTTTGATGAGTAGTTTCTTCTTGCTTATTGCTTTGGAACGTGACAGAATGTGGGAAGTCTAGTTAGGTGCTGGGATGGTGAGCCTGAGCAGCGCAGTGGATGCCTGCAGTCCCAGAGGGCACAAGTAGGGTTTGAAAGACTGCTAAAGCAGCACATTCAAAAGGAACCAAGTTAAAGAGGAACAGTCCAGCGTTTGTGTGATTGCTTCCTAGTGCCAAGTTGGTATTATAGGTGGGCTTTGCAGGTGGAAGTTAAATGACCTGAGTGGTTGCCTGGAAGCCAGGACTAGCAGCTGCTGGTTCTGAAGCACAGCTTGACCTGTAGCATGAGTAGGGTTTCAATGACAAAAGAAATGAATAAGTAGACTTGTATAGAGAAGGAAATCAGTGTTTGAAAGTGATAAAGAAGCTGCATATTTTGATAATGGGTTATTGGAGATATGTGTGTAAAAACGGGACTAACACTTCTGTTGTAGAGCTTGTGAGTGGAATATTCTCTGTACTCCCAGGGGTGGCCTTGGCGATAGCTGCTTTATCTGTTTTTTGAGATAGTCTCATTGTGCAGCCCAGGCTGGCGGCGAACTCATGGTCCTCTTGTCTTGGCCTCCCAAGTGCTGGGATTTGGGATTACAGATAGGTGCTTCCATCCGTGGTTCCTGTTACTTTAAGGTGATAATAACTGTCCAGTAGCAAAACTGCTTGTACTGAACACCACATAGGCAGGCCTACTGTGAAAATAGAGGAAAGTTCTTTGGGAGGCTTGAATTATTTTCTTTGTTGGGTTAAATCTGATTTATGTTCCACAGACTTTGCAACTGCATAATCTTCAAAGGGCGAAGTTGTTAGCTTTAGGATCCTGGTGGAAATTTCGTCCCCACCCCCAGTCCCCCATTTTCTAAACTTCTTGAGTATGATGTTGATGTGCATCTAATGATTTGTGGCTATACTCATAATATTGCCGTGTTATTTTAAAGCATTTATTTCAGCTTTGTTGAAGCATATGCTGCAGAGCATTTGGCTAGGCACATAGTAGATTTAAGAAGACTAAGGCAGGACCCTTCTCTTTACATATGCAAATCAGTATTACAGAGCATAATTGTCATAAAGAGAATGCAAATAGAATAAGCAAGGGAAGAAGTTATAGTTCCCTAGAGTCATGGAGATGAGTGCTTCTTACTGAGCCTGGCGAAGACTTGAATCAGAGTGTGAGAGAGCAAAAACACTGCCTGGGAGCTGGAAGGTACAGGCTAGGTTCAGAGAATCGGGGGACCCAGAGGCTGCAGGGGCCATTGCCACCCTGTGAGCTTCCTTTCTCAAAGTTCTGAGCAGTAGTTCTCAACCTTCCTAACGCTGCGACCCCTTAGTAAAGTTCCTCATGTTGTGATGATCCCCAACCATAAAATTACCTTGTTGCCAGTAGCAAAGTTGTAGTTATGAATCATCATGTAGAAATCTGATATGCAGAATATTATGGGCCAAGACCCACAGATTGAGAACTACTGGTCTAGAGGGAAAGGTGGACTTTGCTTCTGACTCTTGATCGCTAGGATGCTGCTGAGCAGAGGTGCAGGAGCTGTGCCCAGAACTGAACTGCATCTCCTCTGTGTGCTACTTCACAGCTTCATATCTGGTGATGAGTAATTCATTATTGTCTTCTGTTTTAGGAGATGCCAATAGACAAATTAGTGAATACAAGTTCAAGCTTTCCAAAGCAGAACAAGATATAACCACCTTGGAACAAAGTGTAAGTACTTCTGTGATTTAAATGCCACTAAATGTGATCAACTGCTTCTGAGCCCCATGCATCAAAGTGGCTAGACCTTTGAGTGTCTGTGGGTAGCCTTGGCAGCTGGATCTCTTCAAAAGCTCTATTAGAGTTGAAAAGCCATCAGAGAACACCTGGTAGGGTAATCTAGCTTTGTACTTGCTCTAGGACTGGGCCAGCAAGATGGCACAGCAGCTAAGAGACATTTGCTGCCAAGCCTGAGTTTGATCCCCAGGACCCACATGGCAGGAGACACCTGGTTGACTTCTAACCCCTAGTCAGGGTTTCTATCGATGTGCAGAAACGTCACGGCCAAATATATCTTGGGGAAGGAACGGTGGCCTTAAATCACATTTCCTTATTACTGTTTATCACTGAAAGAAGTCAGTAGAGGAGTTTGAACAAGGCAGGAACCTGGAGGCAGGAGCTGATGCAGAGGTCATGGAGGAATGCTGTTTACTGGGTTGGTCAGTGTGCTTTCTTACAGAACTCAGGACTGCCAGTCCAGGGCTAGCAACACCCAATCTGCTGGGCCTCCCCCACTGAAAATGTCCTACAGGCTTGCCCACACCCTAGTCTTACAAAGGCATTTTTTTTCAGTTGAGGCTCCCTCCTCTCCAAGTTGACATAAAACAAGCACAGACCTCTGCGTGCTCACAGTGAAACAGATGTACTAATTTTTTAGACTGTAGTATTTTGTAACTGTCATTGGGTTTTTGTAGATATATCTATAAAGAATTTAAAAACAGTGCCTCTTAAGAAAAAAAAATCTCATGTACATTTCATAAGCCTAAAGGTTGGCCCCATAGTGAATGACTGCAGTTGTACTTCTCCCCGGGACCCTTGGCTGCCCAGTGACACTGCCCTTCTACCTTTGCTGCCTAGCAGTGGTGGCAAACCCTAGAAGCCGATGTCCTCATATTTACAGATCAGCCGGCTCGAGGGGCAGGTGCTAAGGTACAAAACTGCTGCTGAGAACGCTGAGAAAATTGAAGATGAACTGAAAGCCGAGAAGAGGAAGCTACAGCGAGAGGTACTTGTGTTAACATGCTTCTTGGAGAACACAGCTCTAAAAAGATGAATTCTGTGGAAAAATTCCACACTAAATAAGAAATTTCACTTTAGTCAAGTGTGGTGGCGCACACCTTTGATCCCAGCACTCAGGACACAGAAGCAGGCCTATCTCTTGATAGTTTGAGCACAGCCTGGTTTATATGATGAGACCCCCTGTCTCAAATAACCAAAACTAAGAAGACCTGACAAAAAAAATAGTGGAGCCACTTGCTTGTTACATAGGCTTGGACCTGCACAGTTGGCTGCACAGTGAATGTTTTTTTGTTTGTTTGTTTTTTGTAAGGCAGCAAATAAAAATGTATTTTGGGGTTTTGCTTTAGATGGTATCAGTTTTTGCAGCTTTTATACATCTTGTTTTGTGCTTTAAACTATTTTCAGCACCATTGTTTAGTCCTCTACCTGCCTACAGAAAGGCAGCAGCTGTTTGGGGACTGCATTCATGGCTATCACCATCAGAACTCCCGTTTCCCAGAAAGCTGAAGGGAAAGGGTGCTGGGCTTTCTTCTGACCATGTAAAGTGATTGTGTTTTTTTCTCCAGCTACGTACAGCACTGGACAAGATCGAGGAGATGGAGATGACCAATAGCCACCTGGCAAAGCGGCTAGAGAAGATGAAGGCCAACAGGACGGCCCTTCTAGCCCAGCAGTAGGAGGCAGCCTTCCACCTGGGTGCTCTGAGGGCCTTGCCCAGAGACACTGACTCTTTTTGTACATTGACACAAACCCCTTGGAGTACTGTTTGAGTCTTGTCATTAAACAGCCACCTTTGTATTTTATAATTTATGAGAATGAAGCAGGTTTAATTGTCATGAATTTGCATTTTGTTTGTAGTTCACTTTAACAGTGAGAACTAGTCTGTGCTGTTTTTATTTTCAACATTCTACATTCTAGAATCACATTTTCTCACCTCTTCCTCCAGCTGCCTCATTGCTGGGCACTTGGAGGCCTTGGTGTGGGTTCTGGAGGATGGCCATTCTGAGAGCTGAGACACTTGCTGGAGACCTCAAAACCACAAGTGCCTTCTCCACGGTGTGACACAGGCTTCAGAGACCAAGTAACCAAGATTCCTACTCTTCTTACCAGAGCGTATACATTTCAGTGAGGATGTGTTCAGGGGTGGGGAGTCTGTTTCACTCAAATTTATATGTTTGGAGGAAAAAAAATCTTTTTTTTTTTTTTGTAAGATATTTAAAATTTATATAAAAAATGTTAGAAAATGATATGGGGAGTGTATATTAAATTTATTGCAGAGGAAGTCCAGATCTATACTCTTTTTAAAAGAGTAGGGTCCTTAGTCTCTGTATCCACTGAGCTGTACCTTGTATTTTCATCTGCTGCTTATTTGTGAAATGAATCTTCAGACAAGCTCGAGGGATGACAGGGACAGTGCAGGCAGGTAGAGAATTCGCCTAAATTCGTTAAACACACCTTTCTGCCAACGAGGATTGGCTGCGGGCAGTCACTGTTACAGAAGCCTTTAGGACAGAACATGGCAACCATGTACAGTCCTGTCTTGCTCTTCTTTTCTCAAGATGAGATAATCCAGAGTATAGATCTTTTAATTTTTTGGGAGACAGGGTCTATGTAGCCCAGGCTGGCCTCCACTTCACAATCATCCTCACTGGGCCTCTTAAATGTTGGGATTCCTGGCATGTACCGTCATGCCTGGTTGCAGAATACGAAATGTTTAGCAACTTTAATTTCATCTTTAAAGAGACCAGTTCAGGATGGCCCTTCCTCCACTGTAGCCACTTTATAAGGTGTGTGATTCTTCTGTTAGAATCAAGGTGGTCTCATGGGAATGATTACTGTAGCTCAAAGTGTTTACAAAGAAACTATATTGAGGAAAACTCTAATGAATCAAAGTCTCTTCATAAATCTAGAGTTGCAACTAGATAATAAAATGAACTCAAAAGTGAATGATAGTTGTCCCTTCATTTTTTAGGATATGGAAACTCCATCATGAGCTGAGAGGATCTGGTGCATCTTTGAATAGGAGCAGCAGTTGCATGAGTAGGGGCAGAAATGCAGACTTACCCTGTTCTCTCTATTACAGTCAGTTTATCCAGCTCTTCATACATACAGAGCACCTCTTCCTTTCCACTTGAAGTCACTTAGCCTGTATGCCTCCTGGGCTCAGGAGCTTCTCTGAGAAGCCCTGCCTTGCCCTAACTCTTGTTTTAGCCTTTTCTTGTTTGGTCATTTCAATTGAGATGGCTCTTTCTTAAATAAGATGTTGTTTTCCTTAAAACCTTCTCCATTGCATGCTGTGGTCTGTATTCTGCTTTAAAACCCTGGACATTCATGCTTGGGCTGAGTGCTTTATTTCTGCTGAGGCAGGGCTGATATTAAGGTAGCTTGCTTGGGCACCGAAGAGTTTATATTTTTATTACTGGTTTTAGAGAAAGGCCTGGATAACTCCCAGTGAGCCACTCGAGTTGAATAGTGAAGGCAAAAGAAAGACTCATTTCATGTGGCCATGTTGAGAAGAACAGACAAAATGCTTCCAGAACTCCAAATTAATGTTCCAAGTGTTAACAGTTCAAAAGAAGGAACAAAGGAGTCAGCTGAGACATGCAGTGCTGATGAAGCAAGTCATTTTGGGAACGCCAGTGGGCTGACAGTACATCCAGGTCCCGTGAAAGGCTCTGGAGAGCTGGCTACTGAAACCGCTTGATGGTCTCCATGGCATAAGCATTTCCCACTCCAGGGTACATCATTGTTGGAGTGTCTAATTTTGAGCCATAATCTGTCCTTTGAGTGTTGTTTGGGAGGAGTTTTGGTCCCTTGTAAAGATATTTCTTACCAGTCCTGTTATTCCTCAATTCCAAAGTAACTCCAAGACAGAATGACTCAGGAGGGAAAAAAAAAAAAAAAAGAGACATAGCCAGAGAAGGGTGAAATAGAGGCCACTGACTCCTTTTTGCTTCCCCAGGACCCTCTAAACTAGAATGTCTAGACAGGTGTTCAGAGCCACTGGGTGGGTTAATTTAACTCTTACCAGTTAAAAGACTAGGTAACTTTTCTCCCTGATAATAAATTAGCCTCAAATACTGATAGGAGTGGATTCTCAGTTTGAGCTTCTCCAGTCAAGACCAACACTCTTTACATACTGCTTTTGTATTATTGTAATGTTGACCAAATACCTTACAAGTAACGGATGGATGGACTCATTTTGGCTCACAGTTTAAGAGCAAAGTCCATTATGAATGACAGGGAAGGTGTGGTAGAGTTCATGGGCAAGTCTCGGCAGATGGTTTTCACGTAGGAAACCCCTAGCATGTTGTTCACACTTTTCAAGTGAATTTGCATATCCACATACTGAAGCTTCAGTGAGTGGAATCTTGACCCTCAGGTCACCTTTGCCATTGCTGAGGATAAAGTGTAAGGTCTCTCTACTTGTGTTCATCTCTCTAACATTACAGATACCTTGTCTGCACCCTGCTTTTCTGCAACTTTAAATGTGTTCATCCTTCTTGTTCATGGTTTTTCTCACCGGACTGCGTATTTTCATCTGTTTTGAATTGTCAATCAACCTCAATAAAAGCAGTGATAACCAGGCTACCACCCAAACGTTAAGCTGTCTTGAAATTATCTCTGCCAAACAACTTAATTCATCATCGTCCGCCTTATTCAAGGTCATGAGAAAAGACAGCGGCAGGCCTTTTCCAGAGTGCAACATGAATGTCCTCTAGCCTAGATCCTACCCGTCCTTGTTCCCATTCTCAAACTATATGAGCCATGACCCCCACTGGCTGCACTGCTTCCAAACTCCCATGAGAATCATCCATGAAGTTCTGTTTACAGTATTCCAGAGCTCCCCTAGCCTGCAGCTCCAAACTCCCTCTTGTAAACCTATTCCAAAGCCTAGAAACCACATGGCAAGTTCAAAGCAACAACCTAGTTGTCTGCACCAGTAATTTTTAGGCAGGGTTCTCTACCAGAACAGAATTCATGGGGTGTATGAAAAAAATTTACAGAATAGGGCTTAGGCATTCCAAGAATGGCTGGCTGTAAGCTGGAAAGGTAGAAGAAAACCTGGTCGCTACTCAGTCCACCAGGCTGGATGGATGCCTTAGCAGGTCCAAAAGCCTGGAACCAAAAGCCTGGAAGATCCCTGGAAGGAGTCTTGGAATTGGGTCTGCCTCGGAAGGCGAGGTAAGTTAAGAGTCCACTGCAGCATCAGGGAATGGGTACAGGCAGGTGTGTACTTTTTCCTGAGCTCATTCTGGTCTAACTGCTGGTAGTGGTTCCTGCTGCCCAGTTGGAGGGTAAGTTATCCCTGACCAGTCATCTGCTCTGGAAACACTGCCACAGACACACCTGAGTGTCTTTCCCAGGTCCAATCCATTGACATGACCATCTGCATTCGAGAGTGACTTTTTCTTTTTGAGGCAGAGTCTCACTATGTGGTTTCAATTTGCTTGGAACTCACTCTAGACCAGACTGTCCTCCTGCATATAGATCCACCTACCTCTGCCTCCAAGTGCTGGTATCAAGACATGCATACACCATATCTAGCCTTGGGAATTTATTATTTAATTTTAAGCAAAGCTGGAGGTAAGAAAGTTTTAAGATGGATTTAAGCCTGGGCATTCGGGGAAGAGATGTGTAAGAAACCTAAAACATGGACTTTTCAAAAATTGCTGTTCCCAGGCTTCTTTAAAAGGAATCTGAACTGACAGTTTATGATATCTGATAGCACTAATTTCCAGGATAAGAACATGTTAACATGTTTTTGTTTTTTAAGAGTGTGTGTAAAAGTGACTCCTTAGGGCTCAGGAACTTTCAAACTTCTTTTTGGAGTTTTCAACACAACCCAGTGTATACTAGGTGAAAATCATCTTTAAAAGTTTTCTGATGTGAAGTTACAAAAATCCCATCAAGACACTTGAGTTTATTTGTAGCCAATCCACAGGTGAAGTGCACTGAGCTGTAGCAACAATGAGGACAGGGCAAGAAGAGTGAGCACTGGAAACCTCTAAGCACACAACTGTCTTGTCCTGTGGTTTCCTGAGCAGCACTAGCTTCACCATGGACAACCATGCAGCCTCTAAGGTGCTCTGACTGTTTAACACCTCTCAAAGACTTTGTACAGATCTGGCAGGTTGGCAAGCTGCAGGACATTTCCATCTTCTGTGAAATGCTTCGGAGGTAGAAGGTGTGATCGGAAGGCTTTATAGATAATGTGCTCCACAGTCCACTTCCAGGGCTTTGGAGTGGAGCCAGGCATGTCACTCTGGAAAATACATGAAATGCCATTTATCTACCCACACACTGGCTTTCCCACTGGCATGACCAGAACTGGGCCTGGAAAAGTCTCAGTGGCATGTAATGGGCTATGCTGCTTAAAACTTGTGACAGACAGTCTTGAGGATCCCACAGGTCTGATCAGCAGGAAAGACAGCAGTGTTTTGATGGCCTACAGAAGGAAACTTTGTTTCTACTGCAGTGGATCTGACATTTTGAGCCTGACTCCTGGATTATACCAAACCTGCGGGTATCTTAAAATAGCTGTTCTGATACTCCCTGAAGGGTAAATTTGCTTCCTCATTCCTCTGTATGGAAGCCTTGGTTACAGAACTGTCCTGAGCGGTCAACAAGCTTCACGATCACTAAGTATTACAGTGGCTTCTCATGTTCTTAGAAACTCTTGACTCTCCTACAATGTAAGTGAGCATTACCATTTGACTGAAAAAAGTGACAAGCAGTAGACCTATGACAGAGATTGTATCTGGCAGAGGTCAGATGCAAAATAGGGAGAAACTGAGGTAGACAGAAGACTAGCCTAGAGTCTGAAGATTTGGGTTTAAGTGCTAACAGTGATGCATACAGAACACTGGCCTAACCTTCCCCTTTTCACTGTGACATCCTATGCACCCATTCTACATCTCATAGGTTCTCAGATCATTCGAGAGGGTCTGTGTTCTACTTCAGCAAAATCAAAGTCATGAATAAAAGCTGACCATTCTAAAAAGTTGGGTGTGCTGGTACATGCCTATAATCCCAGCACTTGGGAGGCTAAAACAGTAGTATTATGTTGAAAGTCAATGTGAACAATATACAAATCCCTGGGTTTAAAAAAAAAAAAAAAGTTGAGGGCAGTTGCTTGACCTTTGTCACATAGAGTGAAACTAGGATTTTAGACATGATTTAAGTCCCATATTCTACATGAGACCTGTCCCAGTCTTAGGTGCTAGTGTACATTAGTTACCACAGTACCTGCTGGCCTGAGAGGGTTGACTCCTCCAAGATATACTGCTTCCGAATGGAGTAAAACACAGCACATTCTTTACTGAGGCTTTCAAAACATTCCTTTTCTTCATCCCAATTTACCTGGTCCACAGAATTCAATACAAGACAAGCATTCAATTCAGTGTTCTGACATTTTACTTCTAAACAACCCCAGACTTAACGAAGACTTTCCTGGCATTCAGAGCTGGCTGGTAAGTATTGCTGGGATATATATGGCGTATGGGTTGATGGGGCCCTCAGCTGTTTTGTTTTGATCTTTTCCATTCCACATAAAGTACTTCTAGTACATGCACACACACTGCAAACCCACTGCTTAGCCTGTACTGCTCTGTACCTCTGTGGCCAGTCGAAGGATGAAGATAGGCAGTCCTTCCAAAGGTGGCACATAGCTGTCAATCAGAAGGGGTAATCCAATCAGGTTCCCTTCCTGCTTGTGGGAAAAAGGTCAAGAAAAAAAGGGTAAGAAATAATGGCATTATAAATGACAGATTTCATTTATCTAGTGCTTCTCTAAGCCTTGTCCTGGGTGCAGGTTGTAGGATGGACACAGTGCCCTGAAAGTTGAGCATTAAAAAGAGCTTGCTGCATCTGCTCAGAGACGTCAGGACAAAGCTAAGAGGAAGAAAAAGAGCAAGCAACATAGCTTCATTGACTCTGCGGCCTGC